TTTCTAAATCCACAAACTTGAGGCTTTTTGTTTTGTTTTTTATTTTTTGTTTTTTTTGTTTTTTTGTAATAAGATATTCTATAAAATAATAATTATACTTGATGTTTTGGCCTTCATTACTTGTTTTTATATCTTAAAAATCAACCTTAGTATTCAAGTATATGTATTTACTTATTTATTTATTTTCATAATCTAATTCATATTGTTACAACATACCAATGTATTTAGAGATCTTTTTCTTAGTTTAAGATATTTTAATTTTTTCTATTCTTTTTTTAGAAGTCTATTATCTATTATTTTAAAATAATTTCAAACTAAATAGATTAAAAACTTCTATAATTAATATAATTTTTTTATAATAATTTCAAAATAAATAATTTAAAGTTGAAATTTATAAAAATATATACATTTAATATAATTATTCTGAATTTTTTTTCCTAAGGTAAATATTAAAATTATATAAAATATAATTTTAAAATTTTATTGAACATTATATCTTTGTAATTTATGTTTTTTTAGAAAATTTAGGTAATCTTTAAAAACTAATATATTTATTTATAATGTAGCATTTAAAAAATTCAATAATAAAAAAGCCAAAAAATTAGAAGTATATTATTTTGAACAAATTGAAAATAAAATTCAAGAAGACTATCTTAATATGGTCACTTATGTCTTATCTAAAGATTACTTGTCTTTCTACAATATATAATTTAAAATACTATTGATTTTTCTTATAAAAGATATGATTAGATAATTTTAGAAAATAAGTCTTAACATATTATTTAATTTTTTTTTACAAATTTTATACCAAATTATTAAAAAATATAATTAAATCAATATTTATAGAAGTAATATAATTGAATTAAATAGCATTCTTGTTTAATTATCTACTCAATGTGTTGGTATTTAAACATATATTTGGTACATTATATCAAAGTTAATTAAAGTCAAAGTATACAAGACCAAAATCTAATCTATGAAAATCTATTACAAGCTATTATTATTTAAATTATTACAAATACTTGTCTTTTAATAATGCTAGGTAAATCTAAGAACAAAAAACTTTACTAAAATTTCACCTATGGTTTTATAAATCAAATCAAAAGAACGTATTTGTTTTTATGGTCTTATATATGACATAATATTTGACTTTAAGATTAATTTTTAATCCATACATAAAGATTTGACGGCACTTATAATAAAATAAATTGAAAATTAATTTGTAACTTTGGAAAGACTTAAAAATTTAGAAAAACTAATAATTAGAACATGCTAAAACCAAAATTTTAATTAAATTTAAAAGATGTTTGCATACAAAGTGTCAAAGAGATGAATTTAGATAATTGTTTTTAAAAAAAACACACTTATGCATTATCAAAACAAATTAAGAAAAAAATATATATATATATATATATATATATATACACACATAATAAATAATAAATAATAAATAAAAAATTATAAAATTATAAAATACAAAGAAATTAAAGAGTCTTGAATTAAGATAAAAATATAAAAAAAGGTATAAAAAAGACTAAATATGGTCTTAGTCTTATGTCTATATTGACTAGGTATTTAACAAATCCTTTTGGAAGATTTGCAAAGACCATAAAACTTGTGATTTGTGAGCCTAAGTAATAAGTTGTTTCTAAGACATCTTTTTAAAAGTATAAAAATACTAGGATGTTTCAATAGCCACATGGCATATTTAGAAAAAATTAAAGATCTAGTCTGTAGACAAGAAATTTCTATGTTATTTTTTAATAGAAATATATATATATATAGTTAATCATATTTTTTCTTCTTAAGACAATATTGAGCAATATATTTTGATTCTTAACTATGTAATTAAAATTATTCTGATTACATAGTAAAGAATCAAATTATTCTAATTAAATTTATTTTGATTAAAATTTTAAAACCTTTTTATTACTATGTAATTAAAAATTTAAAATATTTTTATACTATATCAAGTTTTTTTTTTTTTTTTTTTTTTCCATTTTAAGAAGTTTAAAAAATTTAAAATTAATCTAAAATTTTATACTAATTTTTAATTTTATATTATAATTAATATAAATATTTATTATAAAAGTAAAATAAACATTGAAGTATAAGCATAAAAAGGTTTTGTTGGAATTTAGTAGACTCATTGTCAAATTTTGCAATAAAATCAATTGTTGAAGTCAATGGTTAAGAATCAAAGAAGTTCTAAAAAAATATTTTATACTACATTGTAAATGAATTCATTGATAGGTGCAACATTGTCCTACTTGACATCAATTACAAGTTTTTAGAATTAAAATACACATAGTCATATAGAGAAAGAAAAAAAAAAAAAAAAGAATTAAAAAAAAACTTGTTATATAACTTAGATTTAATTAATTAATACACAAAGTGCATCATATTTTTTATATGTAAATTAAAATTATACTAGTAATTTATCAATTTTTTTAATTAAGATATTTTATTCTAAAAATAATAAAAACTATGAAAATATATATATTAAATAAATTTCTAATAAATCTAATTTGAGATGCTAAAGTTGAATAATTAAAAGGTTGGAATTGAATTAAAAGTTATACTTGGTTCATAAATGCTTGAAATTTAGATCTAATACTATCAAAGCTCTTATAAAAGTAACTTTTGATTCTTTATTTGGTGAAATTACAAATATGTTAGTTATTTGAGGTAATAATGTTTTAAAATTAATTCTTATTATTTTTTTGTCTTTTAAGTAATCACTTCTAAAGTTGGTTGAAAAGATAGAGAATATTGATGTATAGTAACTTTCAAGTCTTTCACTTTTTAACTTTATACTATGATATTTTTTATTTTTAATATATCTTGCATGATTATAAGAACTTGAAAAGTTTTATACAAGATATGGAAACAAAAAAATTATGCTATAGAAATAATATTAATTCTAAAAGGATTAATTATGAAAGTAGAATTTACAATTCAATATAGATGACAAAGTAGTTTTATTTAAGAGGTTTTTTAATAAGTGATTTGATTTAAAAGTAAAACTATAGAAATAAAAAGAAAAAAAGAAAAACAGTAAAAAATATCCAATCAAAACAAGAGACAATATATTAATAGATCTTATTGAATGATAAACAATTAAAAAAATTACAAATCTTTATAGAGTTTTTTCTTCTTTGATAAAAACAAAAAACACATGAATTAGAATTATTGTAAAAAATCAGGTTAAATTAAAAATAATAATCAATAATATATAATAAAATAATAAAATAAATGTGATTTACCTGAAGAATAATTTGATTATTTAGTCAAGAATTCAAGTTTGATTTAGGTTAACAAGAGGTAAAATTGTTTTCTAAAAGAGCATTTAGACCTTGTATTCATCTTCTTACCTACTTCCAAGATACTACTCTCTATGTAAGACAAATGCACTTAATTTTTTTTCTACACTTCTTTTTCCTAATAAAACTAGTTGTTTTGCAAATTTGACTTTATTATGTCATTCAAAATACCTAATTAGCTAATTCTTCAAACTTGGTCTAATTTCTCATAATAACTTCAAAAGTTAATAAAAAAAGTATTATTTTGATAAAAAAATAATAATAATTAATTTTACATAAATCATGAAAAAGTAAAGTTTTTAAGATATTGATATTAAATCAAGGATATTTTATCATACATTGATAATATTTTATAGCCACAAAAATATTTTAAATGAACTAAAATCTTATTTTCTACATTAATTTTTTAAAAAGTATGATTTTTTTCTTTTATGATTTTTCTACCTACTAAGTATTATATGCAAGCTTCTAATATTTAAAATGTAATTAGAAAAGAATATTTTAGATTTTTTTTAAATAAAAAAAACCATCACAAAAAAAATGAATGTAAAAATAACGTACTGATTCAAATATTTGTGTCAAAAACTCAATAGAAATCTATTTTAAATATTCTTATCATAAATAATTCTTATTATGTGAAGACCCTTCTAAATATTAATCAATACTTAAAAAATCACATAAGGATTATAAATAAATGAATATAATCTTATCTTAATAATATTAATATATAATTTTAAAGTAATCTAGTAATTAAGATAAATTAGTAGAATACAATGATTTTTATCTTCAAAAGCACTTTGATACTTTCAAAAAAGAATTGTTCTTTATTGAAAATGATAAAGTTCTAGTATTATTTACAACAGTCTTGTCAAACAAAAACTTAAATAAATTTAGACAAAACTTTAAAAAGTTGATATATTTATATATCATTAAAAAATAAGGAAGTGAGCAAAGTCGATATATATATATATATATATATAAGATAAAAAGCATTTATAATGGTTATAGTGATTATAAATTTCTTATTTTTAAATTCTTCTTATAATCACGCAGAAGTAGATTAATTTAAAATTAAATTAAGATCTAAGAATGTCTGATTAAGGATTTTGTGCCAACATCTCATCTTTAATATATATTAAAATAGACCATGTTACTCATTTGTGGCTCCAAGTCTAAAAAGGACCCAAACTAGGTGATGACCTCACAAAACATCATTTATTGATTTATTAATAATTTATTACTTCTTATTGTAACCATATCTATTTTTTTATAATCTTTTAATTAGTTTTCTATGTAGACAATCTTGTAAGCCATGATAAGTTTTTAGTAGTCACTATACAAATAATTTTTAGGCATTAAACTTATATCTTAGATTGACCTTAGTATGGATCCGCTTCAAGTCATATATACAAATAGAAGAATTGCATGATGAATATGAATAAGTTTTATTATATTTTTTTTTGCATTAATGCTTATTATTTTATCTATGAAAATATTTTAATCAATTATAATTATTACAATAGTAGTTGTTTCTGTTTATATAAAAATTATTATTTGAAAATAAAATGGCATATTTTTTGTGGTATAGGTTTTACAATTTCTTCTAAAAAAGTCAAACATTTATTAATCTTTTCTTAATAAATGATGTTTTGGTTTGTGTTTAAAAGATATTTGTTCTGTAGTTATAATGTGTGTTACATACAGATCAAGATGATATATATATATATATATATATATATATGTATGTATGTATATTCAATTTTGCATGATTTTGTTCAATTTTCTTTTTCTTTTCCTGAAATAAACCAATCTTACAAATCATAAACTTAGTATGATGGATATTGATTCCATGTGCTGCAATCTTTTATCCAACTTTTTGGCTCATATTCATCCACATTAAAATTCTGCACAACACTTCATAGAAACTTAGCAATTTGTGTGTGTGTCTCTCTTTATATATATATATATATATATATATATAAATCGCAACATTCCTTGTTTTTGTTTGTTGTTATTGTTGATTTGATTTTTTCCAACATGTAAATGCGTCTGTGTGTACATACACACGTGCTCAGACTTAACAAATCTCATTGAAAGTAGGGTATAACAAACTCCACTCTGTTTATACTGTTTCCCACTAAAAACACAGCCAAACTTCTACAGAGAGAAAACTAGTGTTGAGTCACAAGCACTACAAAAAGAAGAAAAGAGGATCAAACATGTACCGAAGCATTCTTCCATCATGCAACAACAACACAATGCCGCCAAGCTGAACAACACAACACAGCAAACCAAATACATTGTTAGAAAACCACTACTCTGGTATAAGCACTTCTCTCCATATGTCCACAATTTTCCTTGTTTTGTATCCGAAACATGAATTGCTGCAGTGAAATGGAAATCAGAGGATGAGGATTTGGGTATTCAGCAATGAAGTTCACAGATGTTCACCCAGATTTGTGTTCAATTTTCCAAATGAAATGGAGCAAGAAAGCTCCGAACAAATGCTCGGTAAGTGTGTATATATGCGTGTGTGTGTGTTTGTGTGACTTGAAGCATCAGTTTGAGGGCCACAGACGTTGGGCGAGGGGTTCGTTGAGGGTGGAGTGATTACCATCCTTGAAGCCATCCACTTGCTTGCTGTTGCGGTTGTTGTTGTTGGTTGTAATAGCCTGGTGGAAGAGTAGGAGCCATAACTCCTCCTTGATAGTAGTTCGGATGCCCAGGATACCCTTGTTGCTGTGGCGGATATTCTGCATATCCTGTAATCCACAAAATGTAAAATCTAAAACAAAAGCAAGAATGAAGAAGACATTTTTATCACATTTTTTCAGGAAATGCGGCAGAGATGACACTTTCGTCTGCGAAGTTCAGCAGGTTTGAACTCAGAATTCCATGAAGAGTTTTAACTGTAGGTTTTGCAGGGTGAGAATTTGGTGAGCTTTGGAATGTTGTTATGCCTGCAGGAGCGGGGTAGCTGTAAGCGGGTGGAGTGCCGTGCTGAGCGTAGAAATCCGGAGGTGGGTACCCTGACGGTGGGTATCCTTGTGGAATCTGTTGATTTTGTCTCGGAACTTCTCTCTCGTTCTTTGATGTCATGGTGATGTGTCGATCTCCTTATGAATTGAGGCCTAAATTCCACGAATGCTAATTCGAAACCTTTCTACATTTGAGGGAAGCTACGGACGATGTCTTGGACAAACGCCGAATCTTAACCGACGATTGCTAGGATTTAGAAAGTTGGATGTCGAATGGCGTGACACTCAAATTAGGGCTGCTCTGGAATATGTGATGCCCTCCAACCATGACGCTACAATACTATTCCATTGAGCTGCTTGGGTTGCCTCATGGTCTCCAAATTTGTAAGGTGATCATCTTGGCACACGGTTTCACATGCATTTTTGGCAAGAGGATTCAAAGAGACGTTGATTTCACGCGGTTTAGACAGGTCCGTGTGATTGTATTGCAAGGGCCACAACCCTAGCTCATAGCTTGCATTCTTTGAGTAGTTAGGGAATGCTAATAGCGAAGACCTGCAAGAAAGCAATTGTCTCGTTGTAAGAAGCAATTATCATATGGTTATTCTATTGCAAAGACCCACATGGTTGTCCTAAATGCACAGATGTGTTAAAAAAATATTTCAGTGTCCTAGGTAGGCCATTCTCGCGAATATCGTTATGCGCTGATGCCAGACTCGTTAAAGCCATGGGAACGATGTTGAAGTCCTGTCATGAAAGGTCACAATGAACTTAACACGCCACTTCCATGTATATTGTGTCAAAATGAAGAGAGAGATGAATCAACTTGTATTGAGTAGTTTTTGATGCACGCACTTGCGACAATTACTTGATATTAGATTGGATCTTTACCATGAATACGATTCCGTTTTGACTCGCCCGTGCCCTTCAAAGTCTTCCTCCTTCTTCATGTTCCTCGATTAGGGTTTGATGTTCGGATGGCCTTACCACAAACATAACTGGGCCTGAGACGCTGGAACTTAATGAAGCTGTTCCCATGAATTGATGCAGTGCTACTTCATCAACGTCTACATTCACCACCCAATTTAGAGATAGTCTAAAATTTAGATATGTTGTGTGCTGGAGCTGCACAGGTTACGTCATTGGGCAGGATTGGATTCGACAAACTGTTACGACTTCTAAGGAGTTCTACGAGTCTCTTCATTGCTTGACGTGCTGTAACCATCGTTTCCTAGCACTTTCTCATTTATCACTCGACAGATTTCTTCGGATGCCACCGAATCATGTGAGAAATACTCTTGATAGTTGGTGCTCTTGACATTCAGTTACGCTTGCACGTCTTCTGAGGTTTGATTCAGCAAGTTGTTCAGAAAACGTCAGTGGAATCGCAGTTACTGTTGGGAATATTTTAACTTCCTTATGGAAACTTGTAGTTCTTTCAAGTCTGCTTATTCCCTGCTGGTTGGTGACTGTAGGTTTTTTGTGTATAGACCGCGATGTGTATGATGCATGTATCACAAATATAAGCTACAGAAAACATCTCGCCATGAGGTTCATTCCACAAGAAATGTTTGTATGTGCCACATGTAAATGAAGAAAACGAACTTGTGGAACTGCAATAGATTCCTCCTCCATGTGAAAAAAATCTGGGCATCCCTACGAGGTTCACGGATGAATTACTTCATCGTGCTCCTTTCCCGCCCACTCGCACGACACTGAGGAACACCAAGGAATTTCTACGAGTTTTCAATGGTGATTCCTCGGAAGAATCAATCAGTGAAGCAGATCGAAGCGTATTGTAGACGGCTCGCATCGATCAACCATTAGGCAAGTGTGGAGGTACATCTGATCATCCCTCAATTAGGTGTGAATTCCTACTGGTTCCATTACCCTGTTTATTTGTTTGACGCGCTTTTACAATCCACAGATGTGTTCCAGTGGCATGGCGCTCTTTTCTTTTTGTCACTCCAGGACAAGAAGTTTTGGGCAAGTTTTGGGTTGAAGTTAGTTTCGTGTTCTTCTTTGGAAATTATGAATGATGAGATTTATGCGCTGCTATCGGTTTGAAGTGCTAGTGCTGTGCTCGTTTGAGCATTATTGGGGAGAGTTTTCCGCCCAGGAGTATTGTGTTCCGATGGGGTGGAATGAATTGCGAAAGTGAGATTCATGATGCTGCATCGGAGGGAATAAATGCAGTTGGCGATGGTGAGCTATTAAATGTTCTTTCGCTATGGGTTCCTGGGAAGAGGAGCTAGATTTGGACCTCTCGGACATTTTCGGGGCTGTTGGCGAGTCTGCTCAGGAAGCGGCGCAGCAGAGAGCGGAGGATGATGGAGCTGATGATCTTGCATTCCCATCACAAGCCGCTGCACCGCTTGCATCTCCACCTGCTCAGCAAGGGCATTCAGGAAATGGGATCACAAGGTTAGTCACCGAAAATGGGTCCACTCCGTCGCCTAAGGTCGATGTTGCCGACGCGCCAACACAAGTTGCAAGCCTGACTGCGGAGCCTTTTATTTCCCGAGGTGGTTCTACAGAACCCCTTCCAACACATAACTTGGTATCAAGAGAAGGTCCTAACTCCAAACAGCGGCTGCCACCGTTGCCCTCGTTTCAAGCTGTTGTTTCTCATTCCATTGGTTCTACCATACCCATTCCCACGCAGAACTTGGCATCGAGAGCAAATGATAGCAAGCAAGGATTGTCCCAGCCAGAAATTCCAACATCGCGAAACCCTAATTCCCGAGAGAAAGCGCCTCAGCAGGGAGCTGACATTAGAAAGTATTTCGGTTACAGAGGCTCATCGTCCGGAGGAGATGGGGGAGGGCCTTCAAAGAAACTTCGAATTCCTGGTCCTGTAGGGGATCTTGTTCTAAAAGAGCAATGTAACGATGGAGATAGCATAGGTGTCATTGGCAATGACAATGGCAATGGGAATGCTTTTAGTTCCAGAGAAACTGAATTTAATGACACGATTTTTCGAAAAGGCGCCTGGATTAGTGCTTTGCAAAGTCTTGACGTCGACGAATTTGATCCAGGTAAGTTGCTTAACCTTATTTTCCATTTATGCTCGAGATATAAGCCTATCCTTTTTCAGTAACTGACTCTAGAGTATTAGAAATTTGTGTAAGGGGCAGTGTTTAAGGAAACTATTATATGCTCAAAAGTGAGGTTTCTCATTACAACATGTAATTATGCTACACCTCTTGACCTTAAGTAAGAATCAGACTTCTGTGATGCTATGTCAGCTGTTGGAACGAATAACGTCCGTTGTTAATCACGACCCGAAACATTCACTGGCTGAACTTGTTGATGTTATCAGCAAGGTATGCGATTCTGAAGGTCACGGCAAGCAGCATCGGATCCTCACGCGCACAAGAAGTCCCGCATGTAAGAAAATCTTCACATTGTCTTGTAATTTATTCAGAAAAGAAGATTCGTGTTTCCTGGGGTCACCTGCAAGCACTAGCATGTAATTCTGGAGCACAAAACCCAATGTGTTACTAGTGAAAAGTTGGATATATCTCACTCTTAAGCCATGTGTGCGGCGCTCTCCGGAAATCTTCCTTATCAATGGAGCATGGATTACGAAAGGTTGAATGTTTCTTGTGCAGTTTGTAGCTATCATCAAGGAGTTAACTCCTACCGTCTTTGGTGATGCAGCTGTTGTACTGAAGGTGAGCAACGATTACCGATTATGATAAATCTTAATCATACGAATGATATCTGCTATAATTATAGGGACTTAAGGGATAAACGAAGCATCGAGGTTATTCAAATTTGTAGGTATTGCACGATGAAAAGCTTCAAGGCTTAGTTGTATCCACGTAGGAGCACGCAAGCTGTGTTGAGAAGCATTACATCTCAATGAATTAACGCTACCATTGTGTCACCAGTAATCAACTAATGTCTTTGTGTGGGCATTAGAAGCTGTCTAAGAAGCCAATTATACAGACAGTGAGTTGTGACCAGGCCTGTGCAGGATCCGACAGGAACGGTGGCAGGGATGATGAACAATAAGGTGTTTTTAAACACAGATTATGCAAGGGCCATTTCCCCGGGAGCTGTTATCGTTCTGAAACAGGTATTTCCAGTTGCTCGACAGCTTTCGAGCTACATTTATTGCATGTGCCTCCCATGAATCAGTTCTGAGTCTCTTATTGTTAGTGACTATTTCCATTGAACGTCGTTGTTGTGCTTGCAAAATGCCACGAACATGCCTGAAGTAAGCTTTGAAAGTCTCGTACATTCGTTGTACAGGTTGCCGTCTTCAGTCCATCAGCACACTATCTCAATATCACTATCAATAATGTTGTACAGGTATGACTTATTCCTCTTTCTGATCATGATTGTGTTGACAGATGCATGTCAAAAGCTTGTTTAATCACTAATTAGTACGATTCTCTTGGGGTTGAACCATCAACTATTTCATTCCTACTAGAGTATATTTGCATTCCCTACAAATGACCATTTACCTATGTAATTTAGTGAAAGGCTGCCAGGTTGACCTTCTCCCAGATTGGCCAGAGATTTTATCTGAACGTCATGAATTTGGTAATGTACAGGTCTTTGCTGCCAATACAAACCTGCCACAAGGATCAAAGGCACCTAAGCAGCACCGGCAGCAGGAACCAGCTGTGAAGGAGGAAAAACCTCCACCCCAGCCCCAACATCAGCCATCATCACGACGACAAGAACAGCCACTTTCTCAACCTCGATTCCAACCAGATCCATCGCCATTACCACGGCAGGAACAATCACCGGCTCAACCCCGAACCCAACCTCAGCCATCGTCACCGCCACAGCCACCCGAACCACTGGAATCAAAAGCTGTTGAGAGCATGGCTGCTGAAGCTGAAAATGTCCCAGGTTGGGACCTAATGCCCCCATCGCCACCATCATCCCCTCATGAAGCCAAGCCCCCTGAGAGCATTGCTGCGGCCGCGAAGATGGCAGGTTGGGATCTAACAGATGATATGGAGGCACTTCTTAACGAGGATGTCGACGATTTTTATGCCTAAATCAGCCTTTGACCCTTCACGATTTTCATGCCAACTTTCAACCGTAGGCATGCTCCTGATGGAAACATGGTTGGCAACTACTCTTAGTTATCTGCATATTGTACATGTTCTACTGCAAAGTGACTATACGTGATATCTATTTATAGGATGTCGGGGAATATTATACGAATCATCAATCAATGAAAGGTAGGTTTTCAGCGTAATTCTGTAAATCAAGTATTTCTGTTCCCTTTGACGCACTTCCACCACTTTTCTCAAGCACATTTGAATGAGTTTGAAGAGATAATAGTACCAGCTGGTAAGAAAAGATACAGTGACACATGGTTTATTTCCTTTTCACTCTTGGGAAATATTTGTCTGTCTTTAGGTTGCTCATACTTGATTAAACTAATGGCACCAAAAACTATTTTGGAAGTATTTTTTCTTACATAGACCATTTGCATATGAAAGATATAACAGCAATTCAAATAAATTGTAATATGACTTGAATTGCTTTTTATTATGAATTTGTGTTTCTCAATAGGTTAAGGCTATTTTAGAAGTGACTGGTTGAACTTCTCCTTTTAAAAATAGTAAAATGAATTAAATCAAATCATGAAATATAGAACACTTGAGTATGTGTGAGCCCGATAATACAATGTTAACAATAAGGTACGTTGTTGCCTTCATCAATGATTAAAAATAAATAAATATAGAAAATAGATAACAGTTTGTTTTAACAATAAATCCATGATGCAAAAGCTTCGAAATATTAAGACAATGATAATATTCACATGGATATTTTAAATAACAGCTTTTTGTACTGATCAATAGAGAATGGTAAAAAGGTAAAAACAATTGAACTTTTCATGGTCGCAGGAGTGAGCCAAAAACGGGAAGATTTCTATTTTCAACGAATGAAGTGAAAATCACATCGAATGAACTGTTGAATGTCAAAACTTAAATAAATAAAAAGAATTTCATTTATCCACTTATTTTAGCATTGGATTTGACTTTTGCATATGTGACTCAAGTGTCATTAGGCCACAAAAAACATATCCAATCTCGTAATATATGTTGGTCTTGATGTATAACTGAGTGGAGTAACAAGTCTCCATACCAATGCATTCACCGACGCTGTGCGCAACCTATGAGTTTTGAACTGAAAAATGATTCGGCAACAGCAAATTTAAAAGTGATTATTATATTCACAATTACAAATACATCCTCCTACAGCGTCTATTATTAGGTTAACCTCTTTATATAAGTAACATGCAGAATCATGAATGTTGAATATTAAAAAAATATTTCAAATACATTTGAAGAATTGAAGTCTACGGGTGAAAGGACTCAGTCTTTAAAGGGGGAGACGACGTTGAACTGGGGCCCTTTGAACCACTTGCGTGCACTCAAGACCCAGACACCCAAGACCAAGACGAAGACCCCCCCCACGGCCACGGGGGCATAGTTCAGCGTAAGCTTGGTCACAGGGTAGACCACGGGCAAGCAGAAGAGGACGGTGATAAGGGCCACCCACAGCACGGCCACCCACCCCACGAATTCCCCATACCGGCCCAGGTTGAAGGGCCCCCGGTGGAAAGACTTGCGCGCTATGGTGACGCGGAAAAGGATGGGCAGCGCGTAGGAGATGTACAGCCCAATTGTTGCAATCGACACCATGGCTTGGAACGCCACCAGGCTCCCCAGCGACTGGCTCCCCCATTTCAACGGGCCCCGAATCAATGGGTCAGAAAGACGACACATCACACCAATCACAAGCTCACCAGATGCAGTGGCAATGCAACGCAAACGCAATGCAACACAACGAGAGAATATGGTGGTTTTAGAGTCTGGTCTCACCGTGAGTGCCATACAGAAGGCTATGATTGATGACACCCAGACGGCGTTCAATGGCACCTCTCGCCGGTTCACCTGGTGTAAACATCTCGAAAACGGCATGGCTCCATCTCGAGAAAATGCATATACCATCCTGGATTGTGGTCTCTTTAGCTAGATGACTTTTTTTGTGTGGCTGAGTCAATTTGCTGTTAAGTTTTGAGTTCTGAATCTCAAAGATTCGCTCTATATGAAAGCGGTTGGAAAATGTGTGACCAGGTGTTCAGGTAATTAAGAGAACCAGAAGACGTTGGGTGTTGATCTTACCTTGAGTTACTGGTGATGGAGCTCATTCCGCAGAAGTAGATGGCGACCCCAACAATGCCCAGGCACACAATGCCGCCTGTCCCGCTACCATAACGCGCCTTAAAGACATTGTAGAAAACTTGCGCAACAGCATAGCCTCCGGCATCATTTGCTTCATTAAGCAGAGCCGCGGGGTCGATCACTACAAATGAGAGTCCTAGGATATACCCCCATCCCACGATGAGCGAAATAATGATTGCACTCAGAATGCCATAGGCTCCATTCTTATCTGAGGACTTTGTCTCTTCTGACTGCAGATAGAGATCACAAGCGTGATTCACAAGTGACATCTGTTGAACGAGGTCAATCTCCTATGTAGAGTGCGTCAAGCTAGAAATCTCGACCTCGTGATCAGTTCAAAGATTGTCACAAGGGTGTACAATAATTTTGTGCTAGATATGCTTACCATGTGAGCTGAGGCGTCATATCCCGTGATAGTATACTGACTGATGAGCAAACCCAAGAGAAAAATATAAGGGCTGCTGTCGATTCCAACATCAGCTGGTTTGATAAACGTCGTAAAAACGGATGACAGGCTCTGATGCTCTTTAGCAACAGCTGGAATAAGCACAATCAGCACAAAAACCCCTGCAGTGACGCAATAATTTGCTCTTTGTATCAGTGTAGTTGCAAAAGTATTTGAACGAGTCCTCAGCCAATTGTCAGATTGAATTGGTATCTTGTGTACTAAGCAGACAGGTCACTTAAAAATATAAAGTGTTCTGAGTGACGCAGCAGTAACTTCATGAAAATCTGGAAACATCCGTGTACGGTACACATCACCTAACTGATTGCCCGACACGTATTTATAAAGCTAGAGTGCTTATACTAGGTAAGCAATCTCCACAATCATCGTACCAAGAATATTCCAAGCGGCAGCGATTGTACCGAAGTATGACAACCATGAGATGCTCAAGCTGTTGATAAGTGCGTGTGATAGCAAAATGCCCCCATGAATTCCTATAACAACATACTTGTTTGCAACGTATCCTCCACCATTTGCCCCGCCGGTGCCAAGAAGAACCATGACCGCTATCAGTTGGGCCAACGAGAAGTCTACGCTAGTTGTCACCGCCCATTGCCCAACGACATTGTACCTGAGGAATGAGACCTCAGGTTTTCATGTATCAGAAAGACGAGCCTTGTCTCTATAAGCTAAAGAATCATGTTAAATTCAAATTGAAACGAAGTAAATGTGCATAAGACACAACTACGATTCATTCAAACCTTGCCAAAATGAGGGACAAGTGTGGTACCAGCCAGTAATCCAGGATGCAAAGGGGCCCCATCTTGGACCAGCTAATTGTGAACTCCAGTAATAAAGCCCTCCTGATGTTGGGAATGCTGAGCAAATCTCTGCCATGGAAGCGCCAACAAACAAGGTGAATACTCCAACAATAAGCCACCCATAGACCATAGAGACTGTTCCGCCATAATTGAGCCCCGTGTTGAACAACGTCGTGATTCCTGTGAGTATGGAGATGATGGCGAAGGAGAATGCGAAGTTCGATAAAACTCTGGTATAAATCAAGCACAAGAACTGGTCATTACAGATAATAAAATATTCAAGCTTACGTGCAGGCGCGACATTCTGTAGCTTTCCAAGAATTGGATACTGTCCGAGGGGGGATCGCAAACTACAATTAAATTTCTAAAGCCACAAAATGTTGTGTTCAGTAGTAACAAGTAAAGTGTTTCAAATAGGAAGTAAAATTGTGGAGACTGATATACTCATTCAGTAACAAGTGAAAGGGACAAAATTAGCATACGAGAGATCACGCTTTAGTTCTTGTTTATATCCGAGATCCTGCAGGCGCTGTTGCCCAGAATCCATGGTGGAAGATTCCGTCTCCATCCCCGTCAAAACTGCAAAGCAACCACAACCCACTAAAGCTCGGAAATACCATCTCTTCGCATAGCGCCATTTAATTCGAAAATGAAATTCGAGTACTTGAGCAGCAAGCCCCTTCCCTGGGAAATTTGCAAAACAACAACACTCGCCATGAACAGTTGACGCAGACGAGTTCACCTCGCCCATGAAGAAGAGAAGTCTCTTCTTCGTCGGCCATATCCTGTATTCTTCAAATGAAACACTCTCCACGGCAGACCTCTTCTCGCGACTCGAAAGAGAGAGTGAGTGAGAGAGAGAGAGCAAAAGATCTAACACACCCTGCTGATCTTCACCACCCACCGCTGTCTACCCCAAAATAAACTTTGAAATTACGAAGAAGAAGGGTGCAACTATTCCGAGACATGTTATAAATGCACTGAATTTCGCTTGCGAACCAAAACATGCAGCTGCACAGTAAAAGTACCTGGCTGTCTGCGAGTCCGCCTCCACCCCCCACGACAAACATACCACGGGCACAAACAGCTTCGTAAAGATTCGGCACAAATCTTCAGGTCTACTATCGCGACGCAAGAAGTCTACCGCGGCTACACAGCAATGCTCCAAAAAGGTGGTCCGAGAGGCAGCTCCTGAACACGTCGTCGCTGCGAAACACAGCTGCGGAGGACAAACTGTACACAAGATTAACGTGAAAAACCATCCAATCCTATTTAAAGTGCACGAACGGGAGGGGAAAACCAACGAACGATAAATTTGGACGTCGTGGACGACGGACGTCCGCACACGTGACAATAGCGGGATGATTCACAACGTGCGAGGTTTTATTTGACATGAAAACGGATAGTAAGATTCGACGGGTAAGGGCAGGGTTTTAGCAGAACCCCGGCCTCCGACCCGGGATTTACATGGCATAGCTGGATATCATTCGCACGGGGTGGAAGGTGGGTGAGAAGTATATTTTTAACCCAGACTATGCTGTCTCGGGTTGTGTCCTCGCTGGTGGCTCCGACACACACTATTTCTTATGGTATATGTTACACTGGTTGTTGAACTTCTAGTTTGGGAAACTGCATTTTCATGTGCGTTGTCATGGTCTTTCATGTGGGTTTCTGTGGCCAAGTTAGAAAAGGTATCTTGCTAGTACCTTGCATGGTAATTTATTTTTTTCATTCTTAAATATATTTTGGAGAATTTTAACAAATATTATATATGTTATCTTTTGCCGTTGTCCTCCCACTCAATATCTACTCAATGTTAGTGTAATCCAAGAAATCCCCATTGAGGTTATGTTGTGCAAATAACATGGATTTGTGTGTTACAACATTGGTTTATATGGCCATTAGCCAAGTCTTGACAAATCATAGATTTAATGAGTCTAGTATAGCTATCTAGGATATCTTTGTCCTAAACTATAGTATCCTAGCATGTCTTCCATCTATCTACAAAAGTCATCATCTTTTAAGTTTCAAGTTGTTGCTATATAAACCTTGTTACCTTATATACTTTTTCTTGTGTGTATTGTCATTTCTAACTCTTCCTAGGTATATGCTATAGGATTGGTTAAATCTTATACATTGTATTCAACTTCTATTATTGTCATGTTTGCAATCAAGGCTTCTATGTCTTGGTCTACTTGTGCTTTTGATAGTAGGTCATCTATTTTTTATTTTATATTACTATCTTAAGAAAGTTTGTTGTGTCTAGGCTAGAGTATTTGATCAAATTGGTTGTTGTGTATTGTATATTTACTTCTTCCAGTAGCTATTGATATTGTTTTGGTTGTTGTTGCCTTACATCAATTTGTGATGGTGGATGCTCGTTGATGATTATTAGAAACAACCAATGGCTTTGGTTGTCCTTCAAATTGTATTGGACCTCTATCTTTGTTCCTCATTTGTTGGGTTTTATATAATCCTCTTGTTGTTGGATTGTATATAATCGTCTTGTTGTTGGATTGTATATTATCCTCTTGTTGTTGGGTTTTTGGCCTTGTTAATGCTCCATGTCTTGCTTGCTTTATCACCTACTCCATATATAATTATAATTGTACATTGGATTTGGTTCCTCTATTGTATTGTGTTGTCCTTGATCTTGATGTCTTATTAGTTGACATCTTCTTAATTTCAACCAAACTTCTTCAAATAGGGCATCAATAGGGCTTTCCAGATGGACTAATTAAATATCTTCAAAGTCAACTACAAGTTACAATTCATTCCTCTGTGAATGTTGTGAAATTCTCCACCTTATAATGCTTATGAGCGGTTGGTTTTTTGATATTGTTGGAATGTAGGCTACAAGATGATGGGACATGAATGCTTTTGGTGGTCTTGACTTCCATTTAGATTCAAACCTTCATGTAGCAATGATGTCATTTAAGGTCCAAATTATCATGAACCTTTCTATAATCAATACTTTTATTTTTGTACTTTGTTTATAGCAAAAAATATCCTTTCAAATCTCCATTCCTATCTATATTAGTACCTTCCATTCTTAGTAAGGTGCTTTGCTTAGGTTGAATTTGTCATAGTTGAGTTCTTGCATACATTTGGCTATCGAGATATTTCATAAGAAATTATATATGAATACTTCCCATACAATGTTATATAATACCTTGATTTTGCTTGATGTGTCCTAAAAATATTAAGTCTTTAATGTTTTGCTCTCTTCTATATTAGTGATGTTATGTAATAATATTTGCCAAGTATTATATGTTTTTGGTAAGTGTGCCAATCTCCTTAGTGATTTGAGTCTTATTCATGCCTCTTTAACCCGCGAACATGTAAAAAATGCATGTGATGTTGTCTCTACTCTTGTGAATGTACAAAGTTTGCAAGTATCTTTCTACTGTGCCTTGTTTCTCCACTCTCCAATGGATAGATTTCCTACAAGCATTAGCCATATCATCACAAAAGGTTTTCTTGGAAGCCATGCATACCATACCCATTGGATTAGTTATTTGATTTGTTGATTTTTAACATCCTTGCAATTTGAATTTAATGATTCCTAACATCATCTTGGGTTCTTCTAACAAGCCAACCTTGTAACCATGTTTAGTGGTGTAGCTAAAGAAGTTGACCTTCTTGAGTGTGTCAATCTTCTTCCATTGTGTTATAGACATACATATTTATTCATATAATTACCTATATAACATGAGTAAATAGTTAAATAATATTTGTTTTACTTGTGTGTGAGCAACTATAGCTAATATTGTTGTCTCAACATATATCTTGACATATTTTTAAGTCTTAACATGATAAAATACATACTCAAAAGAATTATTGAGATTTTTATTTGCATGTTTAAAATTCATTTTATGAATAAATATGTACTTGCCTTGGACAAAACAGGCTTTGACAACACAGTTTACTATTTAAGAATGTTCAAAAACTACCTTTACAAATCAATACAATTGTATGTTATTGATTGAGAAGAAACACTCATCTCATTCAAGCTTCAACGTGTTCAGCTGCATTCAAATGTTACTCTGTTGGAGGTTATTAAATTGCGTTGATAATAACACCATCCACCTTTTTCTTTTCGCGGTGGAAATATTCTGCATACAACACTTGCACTGCGACAAACCAGCTTTTTCTACTGATTTTTCTATGAGTGCAACGGCTTAATCGTAACAAAACAACAGCACTGAATGTGCCCTTCCATGATACTGCTCTAATCAACACTTGCACACTTCCCAGATGCGTCAGAACAGTTACAGCACAAGGCACAGATGCAATAAGTCTGAGACTGTCAACACTCTTCCAATGGGATTTACTTTGATAGACAAATACGATGAACTTATTTCAGATGTCCTCTGGATGTGACATTTAAACGAATTCAATGACTAACAATTTGATTATGAGCACCTAAGAATGACTGGCTGTGAGGGAATCTACTCATATCCACCACATCAGAAGCAAGGGCATCTAAATGTCATGGTGACAATATTACAAAGTTGACACTAGTGCCTAGATACTACTTTGGCGGGCCATGCACTAAATATGTAACAGAGACCATGCGATTGACTACTGCAACCACGACCACTGGAGTCCAGAAATTGTAAGAGATGGAATTGGAAGACTATGGTGCGAGGCATTGTGTTCTAAACAGTGATAATTATTCATGTACTGCCATGATTACCACAATACAACGAAAAATTCGACCTGAATACAGTTCCCTCACTACTGAACACAATCTTCAGGCTGTTGGCGGAACTATAAGAACATGTCAACCCAGAAATCCCCTAGTTGTGTGAAGCTATCATTACTGGAAATGCGAAAAATACACAGAAAATATTTCTACCCAAATGGAGACGACGAAATGGGGCCGCCTGCAGCTGCATCTGATCTTTGAACTGTACCCATACCACAGATTGTGCAACCGGGGGTGGCCAGGGCTGAGAACTTCGAACCACAAACGTTACAATTGTCGTGCCCTATAGTAGACAAACGACTCAAAGTTGCGGCACAGAATTGTGATGGGTCCTCCTCGCCTTCAATGGTATTATCAACCAGACCCCGTTGTACACACAAGTTGATCATAGCTTTCAACTCGTCTTGCTTGTTAGCAGGGGACTTCGATAGGAGCAACTCCAGCATCTTCTTCGAATATGCATAATTTTGCACATCCATGTTTTTCTTAATGGCTGTTCGAATACAGATGAAGCGATGCTTGGCCTGCAGTGGAAGCGAACTTAGATGTCGCGATAATCTGGCTATTTCTTGAGCGCCTGCAGACCCGAGACCGTCAACTTTCTGCAACCGTGATATTTCCTGCCCAATCAAAACCCCATGAGCCAAAATTAGGACATTATTAAGTAAGCAGGCACGAGGGAAGAAATGAACCGGTAAATGAGTGCAGGGCAGAAGGAAAGTGCATGCAACTGCTGAGAAGGAAAAAAGTTGTGTGCATCAAATGGGAGTAGATTAGTTACCTGCAAAAGCTGTACAGCAACCTTATACTGTGCAATAATACGAGCTTGGGGTTTGATATCCGTGCCAAGGGAACGCTCTTTAGCCAAACCAAGAAAAGATTCGTCCAAGCAAAGGATTGCCTCCTTCAACTGGTTCTGCTCTATGTAGGCCAGTCCAGCTTTAAAACAAATAGCTGCTGGCTCTCCTCGAGGAATCTGAGGATTTACATAATCCAGAATTAGGGTAAGAAGCACTCTCGAATCAACTCTTTCGCGAATACGCAAAAATTATGGTTGCAAATAAATAAATAAAACTACAAAATGCAGCAAAATGAAAAAGAGCATGCCTCGAACAACTTTCACCTGATTACGCTTGACAAAAGCAGCCCATGGTGCTACAGGAGCAGGGGCTGGAGGTTTGGGACCACCGACGAGGTCCAGAAGTTGCTGCTGTTTCTTTCTTGCTGCTGCTGCTGGGTCCAAACTATTGTCCAACTCCTTTAAGTTAGCAGCAACAATATCTGGAGCAGTCAAAGCTTGAGGTGGCACACCGCCCCCTGGCAAACTCAACCCATCACTAATGGCAGAGCTTGCGTTTTCAGGTTGCTGAGGTGGCACGCCTCCACCAGGAAGTTCGAAAGAGGCTGGGGAAGGCTGATTAGGAGGAAGCGCCTGAGGAAGTGCCTGAGGAACAAAGGTACCTGTCTTTTCAAAGGCTTTGGCAACAGCGGTCGCTGAAATAGTTTGCTTAAAAAAGTCTTCTGGTATGGGTGCTGAACTCTGTCCAGTTCCACTCTCTGGTTGCAAAAATACTGGTGGTTGTAGTGGCGCCATAGATGACGTGGGGGCCGGAAGGGCAGGGAATGGGTCTTGTGGGGCCCTGGAGATTGAAGACCTTGCTGGAACTAATCCCTCCCCAAAGTTTAATTTCTGAGTAGCTGCTCTTAACTGACTGACATCCGCTGCCGCACCACCTGTAGGCTTCGCATTGATATGGATTCTGAATTTGGGTTTTGTGGTCTTAGTCGTTGCTTCATCCTCATCGCTACTATCATCGTTGGCAGCACCTAAGCCCTTCGCAAATTCCTCCGCAGCACGTGCTTGCAAATCAACTTCTGAAGCAGGTTGGCCTGCTGCTTTTAATCCAGGAGAAGGTGCCTGCGTGGAAGTTGCATCGATAGTTGCCAGTTCCATGCCTGATACTGCTGGGACAGGTTCTGTGTTACCGTTTGAACCTGCTTCACACAAGTGGTGGTGCGATCAGCACAAGACAACTACAAGTGCCACAACCATGAGTAATACACCATCAAAATTTAAACAGAGGAATGAGGCCATTAAAAACATGTAACCTATGAATCATAACTCTACATCCACATGAATGACACATTTGCAAGAAACTTAAAAGTATGTTTATTGGAACTTACCAAACTTAGCGAGCATATCTTCTCGAATTTCCACCACTGTTCCACGGCCTCTTAAAGTCCCCAAGTAAACTCCAATATGGTCAGGAGTTATAGTTGGAATTGGGCCATTGACAGTCTTCATGTAGGCTGTCACCTCATTATTCAGCTCCCAATCCGTGACCCTCTTGCCGTCAGACTGTGACCTGATCTCCCAATTTCCTCCAGCCCACTCAGGTCCTTTAGGCATCATACTCTCTGCTGCAAAATTTGATTGACCCCACCCAGCAGACCTAACGCTCAAAATCTTCTCACACTGTCGCTGTAATTCTGTATTTGCGCCTTCCCTTTCCAATTTGTAGACGAGGATCCTCAACGCACTTGGATTCAAATGGCATATAAAAAGATCCAGCATGCTTTCATAATCTGCCACGACCTCAAAAGTTTCTTTTGCCATGTCGAATTGTCCATAACTACATCCGAGTCAATAAAATAGATGTCAGGCACACAGAGGATTAGAGTTGTTAAAAGAAGATAAATAAACAAATAAACTTTAAAACGACCTACACTCCCTTCAAAAAAACACTACCATAAGAAGCGAGAATCGCCATGTTAACCCATCACAATGACTTGGGCTTGAATTTATATAAGCCACCAAAGCAGGGGAAAACTTGACAAGTACGAACTAGTACAATAAACACTACTTCATGAACGAATCCAAGTGCAGGTTTAGCAGTCAAACTACTGATGTAGGACAAGGACATCACTTGATACAAGCACGACCCAAGCCTTGGATGCGCAAAAACAGGCGAGTTGTTGGTGGACAGCGTGGATAATCCCGAGACCGAATAAATTCGTCCTTTAAAATGGACAAAGCAGTTTGGAAACGGCAAGCCTTAATTGCATAATTACATCGCAATTCCTGAAACACGTAACAACAAACTAATCACATCTCAGAAACCAATTGAGAGACATTCAACCTCTCCAGAAAGAAACCGCCAACACTACCCAGATTTCTGATTGGCATGACAACCGATGCTACCGAAAGAAAAAAGAAAAAAGGAATGCCTGTAATAAGCCCATGATGACATCTAATCGAATTGAGTGCACTCATGTTTGCCCAGACAACAACCGGTGTCGTATAGAGAACCATCACACCTAAGAGCAATCGCACATACCTGGGTAAACTGTGGCCCAGCCTGTGCTAATTCCACTGCAAGCTCAGCACAAACTCTAGGGCCGCTTGCTAAAGCATCGAGGGTATGAGACGTAACACGCAAGCTGTCAAAACTGCAATAACCCAGACCAAAGATGGTACATCATCAACTTTTGAGACTTCTATGTGCGGTACCAGGTATACCACGCATTGCAAGAGAGCACAGTACTCTAACAAAGAAAACAAATTATCTCCAAATTAGTCAATTTCATCTCAACGAACCACTGACCTGGAAGTAAGCTGGTACATAATCTCCAAAAGGTCAAGCTTTGGTTCAAATACTTTCTGCATGGTTGTCCAACCGACAACCAAAGGTTCTAGCAGACCAACAAGCCTAGTTTTGATCTCAACTCCCTGCTTTTGTCTTGGATTAGGATCATTGGGGCATGCCAGGAGCAGCCGATCATTTAAAGCTCCAACCAGAGCTGCAATCGACACCAAAATTCACGGTAGTAAGGCTTTCTGACTAAATATCTCAGGATCAGCATTTCAACATTCAAATAATTACAGAGAATACAAGTCATAGGGTGGTTGATTCATTCTCCGCTATTCATGTTTGAGGATCTATTTGGTGGTGTCTTAAATACGTAGTTCTCGAGCACAAGCATGAAACCACCTCGAATTTCTTACTAAAGCATAAATGTTTTGTCATCCAAGTATATTAAAACAACCTGCGAACCCTATGAGAGACATGCTTTACAGATGGTATTAAAGCTCAAGCATATAACAATAAATTGGACAGTTGAGTAATATGGACACTTTCAAGTGGAACATCCAGAGCAATGGGTGATGTGCTACACGCTTACCAGCATTTGGAGTTCCAATGCGCGCTAGAGGTCGGGCAACCCCATCCCATCCTAGTATCATTACAGATGTAGCTGTTGAGTAGAGCAATGAGGGACCTACCCACATGAGAGATCTAAAGTTCATGGAAGTCAAGGATATAATACAATGTCCAAAGCTACAAAACATCAGCAAACAAATAAACTTCCTCAAAAGAGGACATATAAATGCAACTTTGGAAACACAGAGAGGATATTGGAGGGTAGCCCCTGTCGGCAGTGGCAGACGTGCTTGCGATAATGCTCAGATTTGCCGAAGCAATTAACACACGCTGTGTAGTTAAGATACCAGCAACTTGCCCACTCAAAGTTTCTTGCCATTGCACCTGTAAGAGGTCAGGAATCTTTAATCAATCATGAATTTGTCCAACCAAGGTTTCTGTTTGAGATGTGTGAAAAGAAGAACAATGAGGTACACTATTACACATAATTTCCAGAAAGTGAAGATATTGCCCGCATGATGAATAAAAAGAAATGGGAATCCACAAATCCCACTAAATCTGCCTTCAAGAACACAGATTTGCATCCATGCATCTCGATGAAACAATGCAAATGTTACTCTAGCTTCACTGGAAGATCGCGATCACATAAAATATCGTCGAAAAAATCGGTATTCTGACCTCCAAAACTACTTCAAACGGCTGAAGCTGTATAAGACGACCAAGTTCTGGGTTCGTAGATACAAGCAGTTCCCCAGTAGTAGTATAAGCACCAGGATACACCTTTCCAAGCCCAATATGACTTTCCGGGCAAACGTACAGCAGTGTTGCTTCTGCAAAAGTTACAATATACAAAACTAAGAACGTGCAACACATAACGTGTACCCGGCTACATTATGCTGTAACATTGACAGAATAAAATACAAGGGGTAAACAGAAACTACAGATGGTGGGAACTAGCAACACGACCCAAGAACTAATTTATATTGCTTTAAAAAAATACCCTAAAAAAATCCAAAACCACGAGAATAAATAGTCAAAACAGGAAAGAGCAGCAAGGGTGGTAAAAGTTAAGAGGCAACAGATCTCTATGAACCCTCAAAGCTAGAACGGATCATACAACAATCAACGAAAACTGATGGAACGACTGAAAAAAGACAATTCGCCAAAGAAAAGTTTGTAGCAAATCAACAGAAGCAATCACAAATGCAACCCACCTAAAGGACATGAGAAAATCCGATGCACAGGGGTGTCGAACGCAAATTGGATCGGATCCTGAGGCCCTTTCTTATCCAGGGGTCTTTTAGTAGAAGTTTCTGTGAAATCGTTTTCATCCAATGCACCATCTGGACCTCTACTCTCTGCTGATTCTGGTGCTGGATCTGTCAAAGTGGCAAGGTTTGTATCTTCTACAATGGAGTACAAAACGAGCCCTACTCCATCATCGTCAAGAAGCGCATACTGGTTCTGTGTAGGGCCAATGAATGCGCCATCACTACCTGCAATCATAGCAGGTCTTAATTGAGAAACACGTAGGCGACAGGGATGTAGTCTCAGATGCAAGAGAAAGTTGCACATCCTTGGGATCCATAGAAAGGCATGTGCACACAACTAAAGTAATGAAAGAGCAGTCTAGTGTAAAGTGTTTGAAGTTGCCCTTCTTGAATCTAAAAACTTTGGCTCTTAAAAAACAGTGAGATTGATTTATGCATGAAACAAGTAATTATGTAGTTGTCTTGAAGAGCGTATGAAAGTGAATACACTTGAAAGATAAACTCACAAGCATTTCACACAGGACTTTATAGATAAGTCTTGAAAGTATTACTTCACAAATAATTTAATTAGATACTACATGCTCTCAGCAATTGCTGGAAAATTAGAAGGGACTTCGTAGTTTTGCCGACCGTGGACCAATTTTGATGATGCAACAAACAGAAAAGAAGTCCTGGACTACAAAATTCGTCAGTCTTTCACTTATTGTGACTCAGAGAAGTAAAATGCAAACCCTACGCCAACAATAAAAACTAAATTTGCACGGACTTGCAATAAGGACATTAAGCAATCTCCACGAACCTAAAAGAGCATTAACTCGATCTTTGGCTGTCTTAGCTCCAAGGTTGTCCCGATAGACAACCACCTCGCTTGCAGCACCCCGGCACTCGAAGAATATAAGAAACATATGTTGGTTGGTGCTATAAAGCATCCTTTTAGGAATTCTCTCACCTCCTCCATTGGCCTGCGGGAATAGGCTCAGAGTTTTAGTTCAAGCTAAGTACAGAAATATCGATTACACAATACAACTACTGTTGAACTCTAGTAATTTGGGAGAAAAAATCGACGACCAACATGGATTTTGAAGAAACCAACATCTTCACGGATTTTCGAAGAAATGCTCTCAATGGAAATTGGCTTCCAGCTCATTAGAACTTTACGACACTCCTACAAGCCAAGATACTAACCGTAGGTGATAGTTTCTTGTAGATATTGTAATCTCCTGACGCAAGGTTGTATGCTGTCAAGTTGCAGCCATCCATGAAAAAAGATCTCACTGGGTAATTAAATATACGATTTTCATTGTTGTAAAATTTCATTCCCAGCTGGAAAGCCTGTATCACAGCAGCAAAAGAAAACGTTGCAACCGTGTTACAGGACACAAGTAGATTTAAATATCATACATGTTGAACTGAAGAAAGAAAAACTCAGACTACAGAGAGATTTTTACGTTGTTCAAATATATGGAATTTTACCTGACAAACAGGCATATCACGCAAGGGATGCCCAGGATCCGCAATTGTGAGGAGTGGAAGCGACAAAATTGGACCACTTTTTCCTTGCCCATCCATGCCATTCTGAAAACATCACAATTTGATCATGGTAAAAACAGTAACTGTAATTAAGTCAAGTATCAAATAACTACTAACAAGTTTTGAGAGCATGCAAAGATGCTTAGGAATGACACATAGAGGGTAAATACCTCAGCACCCTTACATCCAGCGCTTGAGCATGTTACGAGAACTAAAAAGAGGCACTTATCATAGTTGGATCGATATCGAAACATAACCCAATGAATTCGACACAGAAAATCAAAAGCCTGCATAATGTACCCTAGTACATTGACAAACTATCACCATTGATCTAAATTTAGAAATCCGTAGCAACGTAAAACAAATTCTGCTTACAATCTATCCCTCAAATGCACGAACAACAGAGCACAATGCCAAGACCTCACTTACTCCATATAAGAACGCTTTTCTTGCAAGGTCTGATATAGTCAACTGGCCACTGTATCCATAACATGAAACTCATGAGTCAAATTTGGTGTACTTCCGGAGGATGACGCTCCAACCCAAGATGCTACTTTTACCACAGTAACAAGGCACTAAACCATTTGAAAACAACAAAAATTCTTACGCTGCTTGTGATTTAGCATACTGCAGCTGCGTCTGATGATCAGGTAAGATGCCAGTAGATCCGAGGACTGCCAGCTTCTCTTTCAGAACAGAACCTTCGCAGAGAAAATCAGAGGCTCCAGCATAAGCAAAATCGAACCATGATCTGTATGGTGCTAAGTTAAGATGTACTTAAAGCTGTTCGCTAATCAACTTAAATTGAACCATGACATGAAATAAACGTGAGGAATGAAATACTTGGAGATCCTCGAGAAGCCTGAAGCACTGAGAAGAGCTGCCTTCTCGACTCTCGAGATACACCCCCTCCTCTCCTCCTGGTCTCTTCAGCAGTAGCAGCCACGTTCTGCAAAGAATTCACTATAAAATGTAACTAATGGAAAATTGAATTGCAGCTTGGTACTGTCCATTCAAACTTGTCAGGCAATAGCTACTTAAAATGCATACTTAAGTACCAAAATTTTCAAAGGATGCCATTTTGCCCTGACTTACCGCAAAAATAAGTGATGCGAGATTCATCTTAGGATGTACAACAACGTCAATCATCCTAGGCACTGGATACACAGAGCCTCCACCCTGGCTCAGGATTGTGGGAATATCCAACGAATCCACTCCTGCACCATATTCAATACGTGGGAATGCATTTAACTGATAGTACAACACACGCAAACTTCAAATAGTATAATTGCTAGCTACAAAAAAATTCTCTTGGCCTATAAGATGCCTTCAAACAAAATAACTGAAAAACATGCGCTCCTGGTGCAATCCTCTCAATGCTTCAGACTTCTCGAACATATATATATAATCAGAAGGGTTTTGTCTCAAAGACCAAATGGATAAATAGATAAATGATAATTGCCTGCAGGTTCCAAGAAATTGGCACGCATGTTGGTTTTATTTGGATCGGGGTTCACACGGGGTCGCCATACTTGAACTACTCCTTCCTTCGTAAGCGTCACTAGCATGTTGAGCATTGAGAGCCAAGAGACGGAAGTGATCGGACTTGTGCCTGTAGAGGCACTGTTCAACACCCAATCAAAGGTTACTGCTCTTTGTTCACATTAACCTAAAAAAGAAATTGTAATTTTTTGACATAGACTTCCACTTACTTGTTTTGTCAAACCACTCAGCTCATAATTTGAATAAAATGGACACCTTCTAGAAAAGTGTTCGAAAATCAAACGACAATGCAACCCGTGGCAATTTAGACTTTGGACCCTAAAGAAACAGCTATAACAACTACAGGTAGTGCCTACTCACATGCCAATCAAACTTGGTCTACTTGGAACTGAAACATCCCAAGCCAAAAGAGTTCCACTCCGATCACCAACGAAGACCCACTCCAATGTTGGATGGAAAGCAAATGCTCCTGCTCCTGCTAGCTTTACAGTCGGCTCAACTGCACCACCGCCAACGACAAAAATCGATGCGTAATCGAAGACGCGAATAGGTCAGATATGCGATCCACAGTACTGGCTCTACAGTTGAACCAGCCTCAAATGAAAATACTCGGAACTCACCCACCAGAGCAAGTATCGTCACATTAAGATTTGCACATGTCGAAGCAGAAAAATCTAAAACACACTGACAACTACAAGCTCACGTGTAGCTTTGCAACCTTGGATGCAGACAATCTTTATATTCTCATGCCCTTTTACCGACAACGGGTATAATCTCAAGATTGTTGTGTTCGAACAATAAGATTAAATGTAAAATTCAATCTAGCGCAAAGATAATATGTAATTTTTACATCCATCGGACCATTAGTTTTACCACTCCCAGACCATAAAGAAAACGTTATATAATCGTGATAACACTTCTTTGGCAATTCTTGAATAGACACCATCGAATACTTCCTAATTGAACCAAATCCAGTCTAGATGTCAGTAACTTACTTTGTAGTGTGTACAGGAGAGCAAAATTCTGAATACTGTAGGCTCGTATGACGCCCTCCAAGTATGCAACATACTAAATTCCAACACAGTTCAAAAGCATTAGTTTAGAGTATCTGTTCGCGATTCCATCGTGGAAGAGATAGGTCAAGAACTCAAATACACGACTTTAAAAACGCTCTATCCGGTAAGCAAATAACAGGTTTCCCCGTTCAAAAAAATCTACGGTAGGCATGACTCAGCTCCTGATCTAAGTCAACTAAAGTAGCCAACTATGAAAAGAAAAAATACCAACACTGGATGCCGAGGATGACATGCAAGCTCAGTTATGGGCTTCTTTAGATCCATCTTTACTTTAGAGGCAGACTTCACGCCTTCGACTGTACCAACAACTGTTTTACACAAAGCCACCTGAAAAATTAGTCTTCGATGCATAATCCACCAAAGCCATCAGGAGAAAGGTCTCTTCCTCAGGTGCATGAATTCCCTGGTGAAATCACTGAAAGTCCGTGGAGTTTAAACAGCACAGGTCTATTGTATGATTTGTGCAATTCAGGCGATTTGAGAATTTTCGTTTGAATTATTTTTTATAAAGAAATCGGACACCACATTTAAGTCCAAGTTTAATATTTTCTGCCCAAGAACTTGTGTGCAATTGTAGAGCAGAGTTGATCTTACCATTGACACTTAGCCGACGATGAGCAGCAAAGAAAATCCAAGGCTTCAGGGGTGTGAGTGCTACATGAACTTCAATACTGCCACCGCCAGAATTCTCAGATTTTCTATCTGATGGGGAATACAAAACATATGTGTGCTCAGTATCCAAGTCCCATGACCTGATAGTCCAGTCCTGCAGCATCAAACAATTCCATCAGAGTGCAATTCAGAACAAAGAAGACCATGATACATATCAGCTAAGTGCCTTAAATCTGACAGGGTAATAATGAAATGTATCTTCTAAGTCAAGAAAAATGTATGAGAACTCAGCTCTTTCATGTTTCAACTAACCTCAAGTATGGCAATGATGACATGACCTCCAGCTGGGCTGTAAGCCATGCGCACAACAACTGCTCCAATATCAATGCTCGATAGCTTGCATCCTGTGAGTGCATCGAACTCTGCAAAATAGACAGATTCACATCCAATAACTGTAAGCGTTTCTAATGACTAAAAACGTTTGCCAGTTAATAAAGGAAGAGAATATCAACAACGGCAGGGGGTTTTAGAGCTGCCACTAGAAAATATTGCACAATCGAAAAACCGAATCTTGCGTTGTGCGTGTGGTAATTTCAAACTGAAAGAAGGAAAATAAAACCCACTAATCAAGAGCACCAGAACAGAAGGCATTAGTATCTACATTGAGAATATGCTATTAAACCATATGTACAAGCGACTTTAAAATGAACGATATCTTAAGAGCAGCTAAGACGAATCAAACTGAACCTCATGCTAAGACTAGGAGTATGTCAGAAAAAGAAAACTAGACTCTGTCTATGCTTACGGGGAAAAAACCACCCATGTTTATTTTCCAAAATCTGCTTTGAATGAGGTGCTTGTGAGAATCGTTTGCTGGTACTAGGAGCTCACTAGGAGCTACTCACGCCTTAAACTAAGCTGATTTCCCTATTCCTCGAATCCTAGCACTCGTTTAAATCAAAACTCGCAGATCAATGGAATTTTAGCAAATATAAAATCGAACATAAGAAAACCAATGTGAGCTACAGGTGATTCCACAATTCTGGTCACTGGAAAATGCAATGTAGTATACTCCTCTCGTGCGCTAGTACTCAAGAATTCCAGAAATCATTCACAGAGCAGAGAGCGGAGTAGCCAGCGATGTAGGGTTCCGACGCAACAGACCCCTCACCTACGATGTTTCGGCCCACAGCCACAGCAATCAACGCCTGCGAGTGATGAAACGCAGCACAATGGGGCTGCACAGCTGGGGCACCGGACCGCACCGGCTGCAGGTCCAGGTGCTGCGTCGCTACCCACTTCATCATGCTTCCCCCGATGCCTTCTCTTGTCACCATCGTCTGCCGATCACATCCTCCAAAACAAAAACAAAAAAACTTCACACACGCGGCGATCCCCTAACTCCTTCGATTTCCTCGCTCTCACCGCTCACTCAAGTTACAGATCCCTCTTCCCTCCCTCGCAAGCCTGACTCCGTCTTCCTATCAAATAGCCACAGATCGGCGCCCTTAGGGCTCCCCGCTTATTTCCTCACTAACTCTCACTGCACCGCGTCGTCGAATGCAGACAGTCAGTCTGATTTACGAGGGGAGGATAGAATTGCGAAGAGGGCGAAGAAGAGGCGAAATCGGCGATGGATCCTCCTCCTCCTCCTCCTCCTCCTCAACTAGCAAACTGGCTGCAAATGCAAAATGAATGGGATTGTGAAAGTGAAAAGCACCCCCCCCCCCCCCCCCCTACCGAGCTTGTTCACTACTCGTAATGACCCTCCCTCAATGAAGTGGAGTGCGGTGTGAATGCATCCCTGGCCCCCACACTCTCATTCGCTTATTCCTCCTCTTCGCTTTCCATCATTTCTCTTTGGGGGGGGGGGGATTGTTGACTATGTTAAAATTAGCCATTTCTTCAATACTTTCCATCTACAAGGCATTCTTTCTTGGTACATGGTAAAATTTATTATGGAGAAAATTTTCCACAATTTTAACTTACTGTTTAAAACTTGATAAAGGAAAACCTAAGTGTTGCTTTGTTTTATACATATATAGATGTATATATGTATAATGCGTGAAGTTTCTTAATAATTACTTAAAATTAAAAACTTTTTTCAAGGTTTAATAGTAGATACATTACTTAAGGAATACACAAAAATAATAATAATAATAATAATAATATAAATTAACTCCTACATGCAATAAAAATAATAATAACAACACCAAATGTATCCAAGGTGCTGTAAGAACATAATTCATCTGTACTAAGATATTTTTAAATTGGTCTACCATAATAAAATAGGGAAATTTTAGATGGACATCTCCCTTTTATTGTGTAGACACCTCTTGTGTCATAATCCTCTGCATACACACAATAAAACTCTTATTTACATTTTAAAAAATTATAATAAGTTAATAGTAAAAAATTGCATATAATGAATTATGGTGTTTTTTATTTTCTTATTATATTAAAAAAATAAGAAATTCAGGTAATTCTTTCGTTCACTTTAAAAAGCTAATTAATTTCATTTAAGAAATCTACAGGTATACATTTATCCTAAAGCTTTTTAGTGTAAATAAAAGTTTTATTCTATACATACAAGGATGCATGGTACATGATGAGTTCACATAATAAAAGGTGGTGGTGTCCACCTAACAATCCCCTAAAATAAACAAAGGTTTTTGAATTGATTTTTTAAAACATAATTTAACTTTTTTGTTTTTATATTCTTTATAAATCAATCATAACAGAATTGCAATACCAAAATATTATATCCCTATTGATAAACATCTATGATCCTTTTTATAGTAAATATTTATATCATTAAAACAATACATAATTACAAAACACATAAACAATTTGATATACTAACTTTTAGTATGCCAACACATGAATTTTAGTTAAGTTGAACATAGTTTTAAAATACCAAAAATTACCAATAAATGATTTATGTTTATGAAGAATATTAGTAAAATCATAATTTGATTCAGTTTCCAAAATTGGATTTGAAGACGTTTTAAATATATATAGATTTAAAAAGGTATATATAGATATAAAACTATTATTTTAGATATATATATTATATAAGACTGTTATTTTAGATATATATATATATATATTATATAAGACTGTTAAATATGTATAACTTTCTCATTTTCAAAAAGAAAAATGAAGATTGTAACTTTTAATTTCTATATATAAATAAATAAGTCATTCAATGATTTTAATTCCAGTACAAAAAATGAAGTTAGTATGTTCACTTCTATTTGAGTTTTTATAAAAATAAAGTTAATTTTACATTTTAAATTTAAGATATCTATAAATTTTAAAAAATCCAAAGATTTATTATACATTGAATATGTTTAACGTATTTAAATTATCTAATGTATAGTTAGACATAAAATTAATTCAAATTTAATAAAAATATCTATCATTTCAAATATATATAAATAATTTAATGAAATGAAATGAAATTATGATAATATTCTTATGTTAGCACAACATTTCATCAATATACATACATAATTTTAAAAAACTTCTATGAAAGAGATAAAGAATTTTTAAAAAAACCCAAGCATTTATTAAATCAATCCACCCATCCTAACCATCATTAAAAAAAAATCTCCATTGACATATCTGGATTCATTGGAAACTAACAAAATAAAATAGTTAGATCCACAACTAATGACAATAGAAGGATCAATTTAGTAAATGCCTAGATTGGTTTAACAATTCCCAAGGTATATGCAAAATCTTGTATCAAAAGATAAAATTTTGAAATCAATTGAAAAATATTAACATAATTATATCCATTTTTTTCTTTTTTCTTTTTTTATTTTATTCAATAGCTTACATCAATTAATTTCAAAAAAAAATAAATAAAAAAGAATTTGTGAATATTTGTATGTGTGTGTGTGTATATATATATATATATATATATATATATATAGTTGATTATTGATACATGATTTTTTTCAAGAAAATTTTGTTAAAAATTAATTCATCATTTTTTAAATTTTTATATAAATAGATGTTATCATGTATTAATTAAATTATTTTGAGATGCATTTTTTATAAAAAAATAGACTATAATAAATAATTATAGCTAATCACAAATATATCTAAATCATCACATGGTTTTTTAAAGAAAAAAAAATTCAAATTTAGGATTGAAAGAAAAAATATATATTTATAATATGACAATAATTACATATATGTTTAATTTTATTTGTAGATGTAACTATATTAAAATATTATATTTGTAGAGATATCTAAATTAAAATATTATATTTGTAGAGATATCTAAATTAAAATATATTATTAAAATATATATACTATTTAATTATCAATTAATCTATTTATATAAAAAATATATATTTAACATTTATTATTAATTGATAATAGTACAAAAAAAAATTACAAAGCTTGGTATATAAATATGGATATTGGTGGAGAATGTGTAGTTATATTCTTCATTGATCAACCAAAGTGTTAGATCACATGGAAGGTATTAAAATAATATAAAATAAAAACCAAAAAAAAACCAAAAACCAAAAACCAAAAAAACCTAAAAACAACCAAAATAGAAATTTGTTTATTGTTTTAGGCTTTACTAGATTTCATCAATTTGTGTTTGTGAATTCAAGAAAACCTTTAGTAATCATAAGTAGAAATGGTTATTGGCAGTAGTGGGACTCTATACTCAAAGTTAGATATAAAAGTTTTTAGAATTTGTTATTTATTTATTGCAAACAAACATTTGAAATTTGGAATTGAATTCAAATTGATAAAAAAAAATTATTTTGCTATCTCACATTAGATACACTTGTTATAAAAACAATCAAATTAATTAGCCAAATATGAACATATATAAGAAAATATTATATAAGAACTAAATAAATAATCTTCTATCAATTAAAGTCTTTGGATTAGCAATTATAGTTACTGAATATATTAAATGTTATTAGTTTAGTTGATAATAAAACTATAATAAGTTTAGAATTGATTGTAACCAATTTCTAATAACTATCACTAAAACTACCAATTAATGAATAACTGTAGAAAAATTCAGATTCTAAGCGTTAAAGAAAAAAAATTGTTAAATATTTTTTAAATATTAAAAATAGAAGCTAAACCTATTTAATTCAATCTATTTCTTGTACAAAAAATGATAAATTAATTACTTAACAAATTTCTTAAAAGCATATTGTTAGACAATATAAGCATGTTTAAATAAGGCATGATAAATTTCAATTAAGTTGATAACATATAATATTTTTTTGGTTAAATTAATTAAAATAAAAACAATAATCTTATATAGTCTTATTATATACAATTTTTTGATAATAATCAAGTGTTGATTAAACCTTGTCAATACCTAATTTATGACTTCATTGCATAGTTTATATATCTATAAAAATAAAATAAAAAATATATATATGTATATATATATATATATATATATATGTGTGTGTGTGTGTGTATATATATATATATATATATATATATGTGTGTAATTTATTGATAGATTTTCAGAATTAAATATTTAAATATAAAAACGTTGCTGTCGTTGATTCATTCATCCAGCTCGGACGTTCGTTCAGGAACCCGGTGCTTTCGTTCGTTCGGAAGCCTAAGCACTAAAGGATGGGATCGGGACTGCATGCTCACACTCGTCTCCAGTGATTAGAATCAGAAGAGGCCACTTCGAGGTAGCAGCCTCACTTTGAACACCAAGTTCGACGACGACGACGAGCTGCAAATGATAGCAACACTCTTGGATGCTGAAGTTGTATCAATTAATCCAGCAAACTCCTTCCTTTATGGAGGTTGAAGGAATCCTTGAAGTTCCTGAGAGTGAACTGACAATGCATGTCGAAAAATTGTTTACAATGTACTTGGGCGGTGTGGTCAGGGTCGTCGCAATTGGTAGTATGACCAAAGTCAGTTCATGAGAGTGCCCCGTGGCATTGGCGAAGAACATGAAGGCCAACACAAGAATAGATAGGATTCAGGAGGCCTGGCTAGATGGCGAAGGTTGTTGTGTCCCGAAGGCCTGCACGAGTCTGGTTTATATTTTTGTCTGCTGACAGGTTGTTGGCTTCTGGAGGCAGCGTCAACCGGATGAGAGAGTCTTCGAATCACTGAGCATCTAAGGTTGTCTGGCTTATACCATGGTTTTCACCCAAAACCCGTCGACTAATGAGTTCTAGATTTTGTGTTCATTGCTTCAAGTCTGTGCTGGAGGTGAGCATATTTTGGAGAGGCTGTTGCATTGACTTTGCCAACTGGTTTCTGCATTGCCCCACTGCATTAACACTCTATATGAGAGCATGGCTACTAGGTAACGCAGCTTGCAAACAACAGCTTCGTTGCCGATAAATCCCGAGTTAGTAATCTGCAATTTCTCACCATCCGATTTCTTACCCACTGGTAGTGTGTTCGAGGGCGCTTGAAGTCTGCTAAAGCCACATCGTGGTTGACAAATCTAATCACTAAAGTATGCATCTCATTCATGACTACAGCTTGGCAGCACTACTTGAAACTCTAATCTCTATCTGAACGTTTATTGGAAGTGATTTACTGGAAAGGTAAATTGGTACCATGCTGTCTCTACGGTTCTGAATATCTGGAGCTTGGTGATGTGTGCAGCTGAGAAGGTCGTTACTGAGGCGAGGTCAAGTTTGCTGAAGAACCATCTTTTGGTTTCCGTAGCTACTAGGACACCCGTGCTGTAAGTTACATGTAATTTTTTCCACGTCCGTCATAGACGTACATGACAGAAGTCATGCAGTGCATTATTGTGATAGAAGAAAGGGCCTTAAGAATGGTGTGTAGCCTCTGTTGCCCCATTCTAAACCACAGGTTTTCTTCCGCTGCACCTTCTGCTGGTCTTTTTCAGGATTAGGCTGGTGAATCACGAGTTTTGAGTGTGATGCCCAATATGTCTTGTTGGTGAAACAGCTGCATGAACCCTCTTTCTCCAGCCCTTGCTCTACTGCTGATAAAATATTCATCTGTACTTCGAATGATCAAAACTGGCTGTGATCACACCCGCCAATACAATTGTAAATGAAGCTCTGCATTCACAATGCTTGAATTTTGGTCTCACATGACCTGAGTTCTTTTTTCTTGCAGATTTAGTGGTGTCTTGGTGATTGCAAAAGTTCTGGCTGATGGTAGTATGGCTGCTGGTCTTCCCCCTGACACTGCAATGTCCTCATCTGCTCAAACGGGGAATCGAAGCCCCCTTTCTGATGTCAGAATACAGATTCATGTTCTTGATGTGTTCAACAGATACCTTGGTTTATCCCTTGCTTGCAATTTAAGTTAAATTTGTTAAAAACGTTAAATTTGTTATTTAATAATCCCCGTGACGACAGCCATTTCACACTGTTTACTTCTTTGAACGCGCATGTGCCTTGGCAGCATATCTTCTCATCTCAGGGATCGTGCTTTCAAGATGGTGCTCTTATTCTAACCGAGTTTTCTCCCCACTTGCTTTGGTTTTTGCTTTAGTCTCTTCAGTAGTCGTGCTCAAATTTCAATTGCCGGACCTGCAAAAATGATCTCACAAATCAATGAAGCATCCTGGTAAATTGAAAGATCTGGTGACATCACCTGCACATTATCATGGACTCGTCAATCATAATGCTTCAGAATTTTACTGCAGAGCTCTTGGGCATCAGAAATGACTGTTTTCTTTCTCTTCTTTTCCTTACCCTCTTTCTAGAGGATAATATTGAAAACTTAGGTCAAAGCATAGATTTTCTTATCCAGCCAGGTCATGTTCAGTGAAGAAAATCATTTTCTTACGACCCCCTCTTTCATTATTTATTTGAAAAATAATAAACGAAAAACTTAAAACTTGACGATATTGTACATGCAGATGGATGCTTGGTTATATCCAAGTTCGGATGGTATTACACCTTCCTCTGGCATTGTGAAATAAATGACCGTCACAAGCTCTGAAATTCAGAATCCATGACGCTGCTTTTTTCTGCTCAATTTTCCAGTTCTTAAGGACAACAGAAAGGAAGAAGAAGCTGGAGAAGCTTGTGTTAATAACACCGTTGAGAATTACCGTATCGTGCCATAAGTGCGACACATGATCCGAGTGAAGGCACCACAATTGCAGGGGCATTTGAGCTTGACGAGCGAGGCTTTCGGGGTTATTAATTGTACCACCAAAACCATCATGTGTGGTTACAGAGACTTCAGTTTGAATTTGTTGTGAAAGTTGGTATGATCAAACAGAGACTCAACTATCTGCATGCTGGTATCTATACTTCCTGGTAAAATCAATTCCGATATGCCTATGGGATATGCCATAGGGAAGCCATAGGGATTGCCATGACTCAATGGTCTGGGAGCAGAATCAAGTGGGTAGAGTAAGAGCATTCCAGAAGCATCTTTTAGATGTGAACGCCTCTGTTCTGTAAGACATACAAGCCTCCGGATGTCTGGTTGAGGCACTGAAGAAGTAAACAGGTTTGCTTATGGTAGCTTTTTTTTAATGGTCTCATGTTACTACTGAAACATTTACACAACATAATTCGTGATTGGTGACACTTGAGTAAAGCTGAAATTGTGCATTTTTTGAGGGCAGCAGCTGTGTAATAAGACCAAGCACTTTGTTTAATAACTTCAATGACAAACAAAATCAGGACCTATACAGGTAAATTGATTGCACTTTCAAAAACACAAGCACAACTTTTGAGGTTTGAAATGTGAGCACAAGGATAAAAGCTGACACTCTGGGCTAACTACAGATGTTTCCTCGAACTACGACCCACATCACAAATGCCCACTCTTTGGAACAGTAAGAATCTCAAGCCATAGTTCTTACAACTAGGCATGGAATCTTCTAGGTCTATTTTTTGTTACAAGAATCAGAGACCCATCCATCTACACCACATGAAATATCTACTCAACCCAAAGGGCAAGCCGTACTCTTTCACTACAGTTGGGTCGTTCCTAGCTGTTCTTCCATTGCTCCAAATGTAAGTCCCTCTCTCTTGTCGGCTGCCTGGTACTGTGTTGTCGAGGAAGAACGCAACCAAAAAAGCAATGGACATATTCATAGAAAATATGGTATTCAATGCAAAGTTCACCTGCAAAATAAGCAAGTGGTAAATATATAATTGAAACATATTCCTCACTGTTCACTTGCCAAGAATCCAGGCGCGGTAGATGCTTCAAAGAGCCAAAAGAGGTTAAGTCCATTAAATCCATACAATTAGGAGCTAATCCATGCAATTTAGAGCTAATCCAAACCAATGCCACAAGCATACAAGTAGCTTATTGGGCATGGGTAGTGGGAACAAGACGATTAGATCAGAATTCTAAAAGTTCAGCCAGGTCAATTAGGAGAAAAAAATTAGCATGAAAAATGCTTACATTCTCATACTTCTTATCGAAGTGAAATGGGCCATGACCTGAGTGGGCATATTGCTGGAAGTATGAAGGAACCCCTGCCACGACTGGAACACCGCTGTACTGCTGGAAGTAGGCAGGAATAGATAGCGAAAGGAAGAGGGAGAGGCCCACGATGAGAACATTCCTAGAGCTTCCCGTTTCACTATAACGCAAATTCGAAAGGCCCAAGGCAGCCAGTAATGTCCACATAAAAACGAGCAGGCCACCAGCAACTGCTTGCGGTATAGATGCGATAAATCCAGAGATTTTTCCTGCAGAAGTAGCATAAGTGGAACACGAGAAAGTCACTTGGATAATAAATGTTCTCGCCTATTATCCTTTTATAAGAACTACCTTCGTAGATTAATAATACGGAAAAAAAATAGAGTTTGCCAAAAGCCAGCTGTAATACTGTGACACTAGTGTTATCAATAGAAGTACCAAGAACTTACCAACGAGAGAGATTCCAATCATCACACATGCCCCAAACTCCACAGCTCTCCGACTGCCCATCTTGGTGACAGCAATTGTATGGACATTCTCAGTCAAGGTGGTGGCACCCGCTCCGGTACCCCAAAGTCCAGCCAAGAAACTGGTCACTCCCTCCATCCCGATCCCCCGGCTAACTACACCTGGAGTAGGTGCCCTAGAAGCCACAAGTAGGGAAGCTGCATGATACGAACCTACCTGCAACATTATAAAGTCATCAACCAGCTCAACTCTCTCGCTACGCAGCTTCCTTACATTGAGATGTAGTTCAATCGACAATGAGACTTCTACTCGCTTGTGTAATGACAACATCCAAAGAAAACTAGAAGAATAAAATGGGCATTAAATAGGTTTTGGCTTCAGCACGTTGAAGAGGTAATTGTCAGACATGAGACTGATCTCGCATGAAAGAAGAAACAAATACAAATACTAAAAGCCGACTCGACTTACCGAATCGACTGTAGCAATGATAGATGCCACGATCATTACAATTCCAGTTTGCCAGTGAAAAGTAGGAACGCCCCATTGAAATGGATATGGAACCCAAAACCAAGACGTAGAACTTAGAGCGTCAGAGGCATCTGTACGACAATTAGACATTTTGATCATATGCTTTTGACACGACGGTGTGAGGTCAGCTGTTGCATTGTTGCGGAGGCTAAAGTCACAGCCCTTGTAGGTGTAAACTTTCGACTCTGTAAGCAAAAATGCATAAGCCCAGACTGCTGCCAGTCCCAAAGGCACCTGCAGTTGACATTAACGACATCAGTCAAATACAACATTTCCAAGGCATTCCACACTGCACGAAAATGATCATACGTGAGCGCAAGCATTGAGAAGCCCACAACACGAGCTCCTCAATTAGACCACACGTACGCATTGTAGATCGAAACATACTGTAGGAGTACTGCAAACAGCTAATTCGGCAATAAGCGGAATACACTCAAAAAATATAGCAATTATCAGAATAAGCACCATATCATAACGCAAGGTATGAAGCAGGTTCAGCAGGACATACCGCATAAACTTGGAAGATACGGTGTCCCAAAACTGATATTTTCCTCATATACTGCCACGACAAAGAAGCATACTTACTACGCTTCGTTGTGACAACTTCACTGAAAAATTGAGATGTGGAAATAAAACATCGAAATGAACGAATTCCCTAAGCTACGAGAATGTGTGCGTGCGCACACAGAAGGAGTAAATATAAGTCTGAGAGCAATCAGTGGTAGCAGTAAACATTGTCTCTACTTAAAATATAAAATTACCAACATTTTTTTACACAAAGACCATGAAAAAATGTGTCGGTAGTCGCTCACCAGTGCTAAGAAGAGGACAACTACAAACTGTGGAATGCCAATTTCGACACAAGTACCAACAACGGGAAATCCATATGCAAAAAATGCAAGCCCTACTGCAGTTACAGTCGGGGCCACCACCACGGGATTGATTGCTCTGTCAAGCCCAAGCATTGGTCATTTCAAAATATAAACATTCCAATGGCACAATATAGATCCAAGGCCAGAATGGTGATCTCGGCCCCTTGAAGAAAGAACGAGATTTTAAGATAGTGAAAGAGACCAGACAAGTTTCTAACTAAGAATACAAAAGAACACTCAAATGGGAAGAATGGTTACATAAGTTAAGATGGGGTTACCGGAGCAACAATGTCATGAAACCACTGAACCCTAGCAACGTTTGAAACAGAGAGGATATGATGATAGCTCCTTGCAATTCCCTCATTGTACTCTTAAACCTCTGGAGACACACAAATACAGGCCTTGTGTGAGGAGACTGAAGTAGTATACTGCATGGAATTCAAACATAAGCTATTATACAGTGAAGTGCTACGAATTGTAAGCGAATGGTCGAGGCTCGAAAGTGCGGCATTATAGATAAGCTTTATATTTAGAAAATAAGATTAACAAGTGTCCCTGTGGTTGATACGACGCAAGGTATAGAAAGGTGAAGTGACTCAAGACTGCATACAGGAGATGACTTACATCTTCTTGTGAACCGATAGTAAACCGAGGCGAGAACACGATAGCAAGAGTTGGACCGAGATAAACAAATGAAGCTCCTTGTACCAGGGGTAGCCGTGTTCCAAAGAGACAATGAAGCAGCGTGGATATTCCGGACACCATAAACATGCTTGAAATAACCTTTGCGGTATCTCTCTGCGTTGCAAAGGTTCAATGTGTCATTCCAGCACGGAGCTTATTCCATGAGTGACTTTTCTGGATGAGTGTGCAAAGAGAATTTATGAATCGTCCCAAAAATCGAGGTTAGCACTCACACTGGAGCCACCCATAGCAGGCACGATGACTAGAGGAATCAAAATGAGAGAACCGATAATAGATAGATAGTGCTGTACGCCATACAGGATCAAGGGAACTGCACAACAGAAAGCCAGATAAGGTGAAACCAACATGTCAAGTAAAAACTACCAGACTTCAATGAAGGCTAATCTAAGTTCGACCATTAAAGTCTGATAACAATTACTACATCAAAACTAGCATATGAGGGTTCAACTGTTATGTTGATGCGACAGAGCTAAAGACTAGTGACCCAGAGTAGTTACTCCACAAAGAGACGCCACCAAACAACTCAAAAAATAAATTAGTAAACTAACGAGTGCAAGGGCTAGTTGGGAACCAGCTGCGAAACCAGCTTAGAAGAAATCAAGACCACAAAAATCTTATACGCGTAATACAGAAACATAAATCCATAGAGCTCTTCGACAAAGGCGGGTGTACGAATTACTATTGGTTAAGGCGATGCGCAAACTTACCTAGTCCAGGATGCTCACGAATTTCATACTTCATGTGAGAATGTTTCGTTGCTAAATAGTCGTCTGGATCTTGCGATTGCGACATATTGTCCACATCTGAGTCCTTGTACATGTTCCGTTCCATTCGAAGCGGCTCTATATTGAGAGGTCCACTTGTGCCTGCACTGCTCTGTACCCCACTTGTATTCAGCGACTCATGTCCTCTTCTGCCAGGAAGAAAGGGCCCAGGTGCTCCGGCTGCACCTGGCACAGTAGTAGCCGCACTTTGAGGATGCACATTTCTTGCTCTTTCAGGCTCGTGGGCTCCACTTGCTGCATTTGCTGGAGATATGGAAACGCCACTCTCTATGTCCCTAGCAGCAGAGGACACGGCTGCATAGCCAGGCGGTGCCTTACCCGGAGGGGGTTGAAGAGCGACACTAGTCGGAGCCTTAATGGGTTGATATGGGGCACTAGATTGAGATACGTTGGAAACTTTGGGAGCTGACAGCGGAGGGCTTGGAGTTCGTTTGATCGAAGGATTTCCCGCAACAACAGGAGCACCTCGGGAACCAGCCAAAGCCTCGCTCATCTCAATGTCGGTCCGATTATCACCTGGGCGAGAGCTCCTATAGCCAGTGCGGCGGGCCCACGAACCTAAGTTCTTAGCATTGTGTGTATGGTCCACGGGCAGGGGCTCTATCTGTCTGGAAGGAAGGCTACTTTCAGCGGGCCTCTTCCCATCATTCACTAAATCTGGCTGCACTGACACTCGTTCGTCAGATTTATCCTCCCCTACTCCCCCCATTGTTCAAATGTAGTATCACTTCGGAACGTAGTTGCTACTACACTTTTACGGAGTGCATTGTCGAAATACCTCGCACCTTCAGCTGAACCAAAGACTCACTCACGGAGCACCGCCGCGAAACGAATGCTACTTTAACATATACCCTCGGTCTGCTCTTCACCATGTACATAAATCAAATTCTCTGGCAGTAAGGGATCCTCCAAGAAGTAGGGCCTCCGTCAAATCCTGTTATTCATGCTATAATGATGAGAAAATCTTACTTGGAGGATCAGCGTCACAAGAGGTCCAGCAGGTGTTGCCAATGCGACCAATCCAGTGAAGAAGTAGATACTTGAGTTCAACGCGTGTTCTAAAGTTGGACAAAAAGGGGTGTACTCAACCCTAGAAAGAACAGACAATTTCATGTCCTCATCACCTGTAAACTCACAAAGGTACGGAGTAGAGTGCAGACTCACACCAACTTGATGATTCTCAGCTCGTCCTCACTCCTGCCATGAGTAATCCCCAACATTACCGACTATGCTAAGGTCCTACTTTCATCACGAAGCCACTACTTATTAAAAGGCGAATGCTGAAGGCTATTTAAAACAAGACGATTGTCAGTCATCAATTTCTCCACAGTAGTCACCTACAGTACAAACTGATCCAGAAATCTAGCAGTCAATGGCACAATAATATACTGGACCAAGTCGGAATCGTAGTGAGACAGGCCAACGCACCTTGTCGCAAGTAATATGATTCCTTGACTCGTATCATCTGGGCAAATACCTCTCTGAGCTGGCTAGTAGTGAATCATGATCAAGGTACTTCACACTAACACCATCTTCAGTGGAGTTTATCAAGTGATAGTCAGTGCTCGGTCAGTGCCAGTTACTTGCCCGTGGGAAGAAAGCGAGACGGCCAATTGTGCAGGTTCCATCAACTAAGCGCACTCTTAAGTAGAGATACTAAGGGAGGATCCAAGGACGTCCAAACAGGGAATCAACCTTCTGAACCGCCTATTGAGCATAGAGTATCGCTCTGAAAAAGACCGCCCACAAGAAGAAGAAAAATCATTACACTGTTAACGAGACATTCTCTCCCATAAATTAGTGCCAGCATAGTGAAGAGGACTAGCAACAGAATCTACAGAATACCTACACTACTGCAAAAATACAAAAGTGAAGACAAGAGTGCAAAAGCTGTTACACACGATGTTTTCAACGACCCGATCGATTGTCATGGACTGGTACCCCCCCAAACGATGCAGGTATCATGATCACTTAGCATGCAACAAAAAGCAAAACCAAGCCCCGACCAGACGGCGCATTGTCCTATTATCAATGAGGAAAAATTGAACCACATCCGACGAAGTGAACCACTGTCCAAATCTACATTGACCGACTTGTACCCCAACCCGAGAAACGGAAACAACAATCCACACTGCCTGATGAGCTCCTGCAACTATTTGACGCACCCAAAAACCTGCCAAACCCAGCTAACCACCCTACATCACACGCACTTCACTAGTATCTCACGCCACACAACACACAATGCAAAACAAACGCGCTCACAAAAGCAACTGCAAACTCCCACCTCCCTCCTCAACTACACTCACTGCGACTTCCAAGACTCCACCGCGCAAACCTCAAGCAATCCCGCGCAACGCAAAAGCCCTAGACACATACCTCCTCTCCCGCAAACCAGCTGCGCGCTCCAGCAACGCAAACCCTGCTACTGATCCCAACCAACCATGGGGAGAGGATCTGCACAGAGGGATGTGTCTGAGCTGCAACGGGCACCTGCGTTGTCTGCAATGTCAGGGCTCCAGACTCTGCCTGAAACTCTCTCTGTCTGGCTCCCTCCCTCTCCCCCTGGTTTCAGTCTGCACTACGAGCCTAGAACTACTGACAATGGCCCAAACTAACGCAATGCAGGGCGCCCCAACATCTCTCTCCCCCACGACAAACGACGCAGAGCAGCAAGACAACGGCAGCCTAGCTGAGGGAAGCTAGAAGACAGGCCCCACTGAACTTGGCTCTGCACTCTAATAGCTTCCCTCTTCGATTCCCTTTCCTTTCCATTCCCTTTCCTTTCCCTTCCCTTCTATTCCATGCAATGGCTCTGTAACGCCATAGCCATCGATCGATCACTCTACCCCTGGCAAGTCCAAGTCTAAGTCAAGTCTTCCCTCCCCACATTCGGCCTTGATATCTTCCTCCTGGGTACATGTTCCTATGCTCGGAATTCACCTCCTCGGTGGATCCAGCTTAAGATGTACGGTTTCAGAAGATGGTGCGTTTGATGGATGGATGAGAGTATTGAACGAAGTCCTTCGTCGCATGAATCATCCACCTCTTTCTGTCCATCATTGGGCCCAACCCCTTGTGTAGGGCAGGCATCTAATACCTGCTTATTGCTGTGTTGTTGCTTGTTTTGGATAGCCAGTTAGTTATCTCACCCCCCTTAAATAAAAATGGTTCATGTGGGTTACTGTGTTTCTTAATCCCCTGATTCTAATTCTTCAAATGTCTGTTGTGTATTGGAAAATCAATATATATACTCTTTAAGTTTTAAAACTGGGTTTTAAAAAATACTTACTACTGGAGCTGTCGATTCATATATTGTGACATTGCTTTCTACATGTTTGGATCATCTTTATATAGAAACCCATTGTTTGTCTCATTTAAATGTTTACAAATATATATATATATATATATATATATGTTATTGGATAATCCTCAAATGTCTATTTTAATTCATATTTTGCATTTGTCTAATTTATTTCCTAACTTTGAAACAAATAATGTTTAAAATCATTCTCATACTACTACTTTTTCAAGACCATGACAATCAGAGTATATTTGTAAAGGCAATTATGAACATTAACAAAACAAATCACAAAGAAATTAAAATAAATTTGAGATCTAGTAAGATAAGACTTATGTTATTTGAAGATTGGATAAAATTTCAAATAAATAAAGTTTTAATGATGGATATACATAAAATATTTGAACTTTAAAGTTGCATAATTCTTTTTGAGATAAACTATTATATTGAGTTTTTGAAATTTGTACCTGCAACCAATTAATCAATGTATGTGAAGATATCCTTTTTTTAGCATAACAGTTGGATCTTCTGTGAGAAAGTTTTAAAACTATATATATATAAATATGTATATATATAGTTTTATTTATTTATTTTTATTGTTTAACTTTACTAATCAAATACATAGATTACGTTTGATAGAAGAATCATATGTTTTAACACAACTTCTAGATTTTAATTAAATAAAAAATAAATATTTGCTTAAAATTATACTCTATAAAAAATTATAAAAATTATAAAGATAATATTGTTATATTTAATAATAATAACCAAGTATTATATGTGCAAGTATTTTATTAACATCTCTAATTTTAGATAGATAATATGTGCCACATCAACATAAATTAAAAACTTAATACTAAAAGTTAAGGGTATTACAACACAGATAAAATTATGTTGAAACATATAAATTTCTTGGAAGATACAAAGATGTCTTGCAAGTATTAAAATCAACAATATCTAGAGAAATAACTAAAAGTACTAAAAATAATTATAAAAAGTATATATATATATATACATATATAGTAAATATTATTGCTATGTTAATTAGTTGAATTAAGAGCCATAAAATTTGTATGAAACCAGTAAATAAAAAATACTGATTTGTAACTTTTATAAAAAAATTCAAATTAAAAAAATTAAGTATGAAAAATGTTATTATAAATGTATTAATTACATTAATTTATGTTATGATTATTGTTTGTTTGTTTGTTTGTTTGTTTGTTTGTAACAAGCGTGAAAGTAATCATAAATACAATGATAGTTTAATGTCTCAAAGTTTAGGTTGAAGCAATTCTATATATTCTAAATGCAAAATTTTATATATTTTTATTTTTATTGAATTTTTGTTAGATACATGTATGTTGTATAACAATAATAGTATTATTTTATGTATTTTGATATTTTTTTAATATTTATATTATGTAATTTATTTTTTTTGTTTTATTTAATATGTTTGTATAAATATATTATGATTATATTATAATTATTTATTATATAATTTTAAAAACGAATGATTATACAATAGCATGTATGTCTTTTATAAATTTTTTATGAAAAATATAAAAAATAAAATTAAAATTAAAATACTTTATTCTAAATAAATATTATTTATAAATTTAAAACATACTAATTGAATATATCATTTAAAATGTATGGTATTTTTTAAAAAATTAAATCTAAATATATATATATTCTTGAATTGTCTAACTATATATTTATAGTAGCATTGGAGCCTCTTACTTTGCTTTAGGAGCAATATATTAAAGCAATTGGTCTTGATATGTTTAGAAGGGAGATAGAAATCAATTTAGTAGAGTGTTGTATTTTATAAGTAATATCTCATAAATTAAAATCCAATAATAGAATGTCATATATCTCTTGCAAAATAATCAACTTATAATATAGTTAAAATCAAGAAGTTGTGGATCTTCATATGAACCTTTGGTATTGAGTCTTCTACCTTCTTCATTTTTCAAGTTACTTAAATGAGGTAGAAATCGGCTAACAATTTTGAATGAATTCAAAAAAGAAATAAATGAAATAATAAATAAAATACTCTTTTGGTATATTCACTTAGATAGACACACAAAACTATCATTAATCTATGAGAAATATACACATTTGAAATTTCATTTTCAACTACTAAATTTAACTTATGTTTACCAATAAATTATATGAGTTTTCAACTTTATGATATGAATGATAATTTGGGGCATGTGTCAAAGGCTTATTTATTTATTTATTTATTTATTTATTTATTTTATATGTTAATTCCTTAGCAAACATGATGCGTGAGTTCTAAGAGGGGGTAATTTGACCTACGTAATGACCTTCTCCGACAGGTCATTAAGCGACAGGGGCTGAAAATGAACCCCAGGTGCAATAGAATAAACGAACTTCCTAGATGGTCCAAATTGGCGAAGAACAAGATCGTCGAGGGGGCAGTGCACCCCAGGTTTGAGGAATCTTGGTGTATCGTAGATTTTAGGGGCAGCAGCGTTGAGGGAGGGAGGCCCCTGACAGTTTTGGCTCTAGGGCTTGCCTGCTCGCTTGGGTTCCGACGTCGATGGATTGATGATTTCATGGATTCATCATCGAGAGGCGGGAGATCGTCTATTGATTGCTGAGTTGTTGGGTTGCTGTTTTCGATTTTTCCGAGATTTTGCTGCATTCGGGGGAAGTGCCGTTCCAGTGCGCTCTGTCGGAGCAATTTTGTGGGGTTTTGCCGTTCTTTTTTCCTTTAATTTGGCGGGGTTTGTGGGAGTTTCTGGGTGCGCCATGTCTGTTCCTGCATCGGAGGATGCTTCCGCTGCGGCGATTGAGCAGCTGTATCGGTTCGGGGAGAGCCTGAACGAGTCCAAGGATAAGTCGAAGGTGTGTGTGTGTGTGTGCTTTGCCTCTTTTGTTACATTAGTTTTTATGTGTAGGAAGTGGAGTTTTGGGGATGGGTTGGTAGCGCTCGGATTGTGGTTGGGGTGATGCAGGTCATTTTGTAATTACTTTTTTTGGGTGTGAGATGTGTTTCATTTGAGTGGTTGGGTGTTGTGAGTAGAATGAAGCAGATTATCTGGGAATTATTGCTGCGGCGAAAGGAAGCGCGAAGTCGAAGCAGCTAGCCGCACAGCTCATCCCTCGATTTTTCAAGCATTTTCCTGATCTCTCCTCGGACGCAATCAATGCACAGCTGGATTTGTGCGAGGAAGATGAGCTTGGGGTGAGTTAATTTTCTCCTCCCTTGGTGTTGCTTTTGAGGACTGGTTCTAAACCCTAGCCGGAGTTAGGATGTGAAGCTGTTTGGAGCATTGGAGCCTTCATCATTGACATTTCGACGATCAACCTTTTCGTTTCGAAATGCAGATTATTCATGGCATGTGGATGTCTGCACATGTTAGAGGGATGTATAACTGCAGGGCGACGTTCCAATAGTTCAACTCGATGCAATGAAGTAATGAAGGAAACCTTGTCATATTTATTTGGTTTTAGTTCCAGGGGTTCAGGGTCCGTGCAGACATAAAATTGGCACAATCAGGCCGTGTATCAGTGAGGTAGCATGAAATTTATTGTCAAGTTGGTCCTCATAACATTTGTAGGTTAGAGTTGGTATCTCATCGATTTTGGGTATCAGTTTGTTTGGGTATACTCGGGGAAACGAACCAAGAGTAACGAATATCTTAGACCCTGAGTATCATCGACCGCTGTATTGATGGCCCGTCAATGCTGACGGTGAAAGAAAATATCATGTTTTTTCTACCTTAGAATCTAAAACAACTTTCTTGTGATCGTTTTGGTGAAATGCCCCAGTGAGCAAGGGTGCGGTCTACATGGAAGTTTCACCATTTGACGAAGTTGTGTAGCCACATGGCAGGTGGAAGCACGGTTTTAATTGCTTATACTTGGATTAAATTTTCTTACTAAAATAGGATTCTGAACTGGAGGTAGTCAATGTGTAAGCGATTACATTTCACGAACCTTGTCGACAGTAGTTTTCTTGGAAACTGGCTTTTACCTAAGTCAAGTTACACGTTACTTACATCAAGATTGTCATATATTAATGGAACTACAGACTATGTTTCGTTTCATCGAGTACGTTGAAGATTTGAGATTTCACAATGTTGTGTGGTTTGTCATTTTATGCTTACACGTACGGACAGTGAGAAACTACCCACTGGATTACTGACACTGTCTTACAACGTTAGTTCATATAGCGTGTTATTCTTCTGCATCTTATTTCAGCACGCTGAGATTTTGCTGCTGCCTGAAAGCACAGTTATATTAAGGCATATTGACATATCTTTCTTCTTCTTTTTTTTTTTTTTTTTTTTTTTTTTTTTTTTCCTTTTTTTCCTTTTTTTCGTTTCGGTTCATTCGAATTTTCGGGTCTACTTCTTTTTCACTTTCAAAAATTTTCCATCTGACCAAGGTGAATTCGGAAGCTTGCTATTTTGCTTGAATTTTGTTCTGGTGTATGCTACGATTTACTAAGTTAGTGGATATTGGTGCAATAACAGATTCGGGTGCAGGCGATTAGAGGATTGCCGCTTTTATGCAAAGACACACCACTGCACTTGCCGAAAATTGCAGATGTGTTGGGACAATTACTTCTTGCAGGTTTGGGGCTTAATCTTCTGTTAACATTGCTCTGAGAAAGTTTTCAGTTTTTCGCTTGTCTTCAAGCATTGTAAGCGAACTAGTGTAACTCATCATCATCATCATCATAATCCTTATTATTATTATTATTATTATTATTATTATCATCATTTTTAGGTCTCCTCACTTTTTGGATGTGACATCGCACAGAAGAGGTTTTGGAGCGTGATGCTGCTTCAAAGGCGTTGATGTCAGTGCTACGTCAGGATACAAAAGGTGCTCATCGCTTAAACTCGCATACGAATTCAACCATTGTGCTACATGTAAAGGTGTCAGCGTGTTGTGTTACTCGCAGGAAGTTCATAATCTGTAGGTTTAGCTCTTATCTCATGTGTTACGAATTACTATGACGATTCTCATAATTCAATCATAGGCTACCCCAAAGTTATGCACAGCCGATTTGCACATGAAATTGATTTGTATTTCCTGCAGGTTCATTGACAGCTTTATTCAAGCACATTGAGAATTCAGATGAGAACCTTAGAGATAAGGTTCTCACCTTTGTAAGAGAGAAAGTATGTTTCTGTGAAACCTTTTTTTGGTTCATTTTTAACGTGATTCTGGACGTTTACGAGTTTGGGAATGCAATATATCAGCATATTACCTTTAGTTTCCCTTTTACCTTCTGCTGTTTGTTCGAATAAGACTTATGAAGTTCGTGAAGTGGGAGGTTTTTCCGTTTAGTGCACTATATCTGTGTTACCTCATTTTCGTTTTCTATTGTTTCAATCTGATTACGGCAGAGCTGTGTGGCAGCTCATCACTTTCATCTGTGATGATGTCGGTCGGAGACTGTGATTTTCTATTTTGGTTCTAGGCTAAGACTGTTTTTTGAAGTTTATGCTAGAAAATATCTTTGATGCTGTCTTTTATTTTCTGTCTTGCTTGGCTTATTTTTTATGTTTTTCTTTCAGGTGTTTCCAATCAAGAAGGAGCTTCTACATCCTCAGGAGGAAATGGAACGGCACATAACAGATCTCATAAAAAAGGTCAGTTAGTTGGTTTTTGAGTTTTTTGAAGTTGTTATGTCTACGGTGTAATTATCATCAAGAACTGTCCCTGTTTGTCACCGATTATGTTGCTGGGGAACACTTTAGTGTATCTCTCAGAACTCTAGTGCTTGAGAGGGCATGCTTTATCAGCTAGTATACAACTGATTGAACAAATTTTTGCAATTGACTATTTAGTTCATCATACTCTGCAATGCACGGCTGGTGCAGAGATTGCAACTGAGGCCAGTGGTGATGCAGTGTCTTCAAGATGTGACAGGAGCAGAGTTTAAGATGTTCATGGACTTTCTTAAGTGCCTGGCCCTTTTCGGTCCTAATGCCCCATCAGAACGTGTTCAAGAGCTATTGGAAATTGTTGAAGGTCAGGCTGATTTGGATGCTGTCTTCAATGTGAGTATTTCTCTTTTACCTTGTATGTACTAACTTGAGCCATTTTAGTATTTGTTAATTTATTTTGATTTTTTGTTGTGTGTGAAGTGCAAGTTTTCTCACGGATCATTTGCAACTACCTGGCTTACCCTGCCTCAATATACATAAATTGTTGTATCCTGCTCGTGCAACATTTGAGGGATATTATACACAGTAACTGTGAGTGGGAGGTCATTCGATTATTGCACGTAAAGATTGGCCGTTGTGATGTATGTTGACAATGAATTTCGTGTATGCAGATAACTGATACCGACCATATTGATCGTCTGATGTCGTGCTTGAATATGGCTCTTCCTTTCTATGCTGTACGTTTCTGCAACTATGACATTTTATGATTTGATTTGAACTTTGTGCTATGATTGAGTTATTTTTCGTTGTAGCTGCTTTCTTGTTTAGATCCTCCAATGCCGCCATTGTTCATCATAGATCTCAATGTGTCATTGCTGCTTTTTAAACTATGTAAATAATATGTATGTACATATGCAGCGTGGAGCTTCTAATAGCAAGTTTTTGAACTACATCAACAAACACTTGCTTCCCGTCTTTGAACAGGTACGTCCGATGTTTCAGTTTTAGAAGTGTATTTGTTTCCCTTTAAGTGCTTCCAGAAAGTCTTTCAATTGGCAACAATAATCAACATGCAAGTTTGACTCGTGTTCTTGTGGACAGCTTCCAGAGGGCAAGAAATTGGACTTGCTGAAGAATCTAGCGGAGAGCTCACCTTACACTTCTGCTCAAGATGCTCGGCAGCTTCTTCCATCTATACTACAACTTCTCAAGGTGACGGTGGTTATACTGTGCAAATGTGGTGTGCAAAGAATGTTACTTATGATAACAATTTGATTTGCTGCAAAGCGAGCAGAAGCACTCTTGCATATTGATGGTTGAAAGTTTCAAGAGTGGCCTGAGTGAATGTCCAGATGATTGCATTGGCCTCTGATTACTTGTTTCTAACACAAAATTTTTGTCCACAGAAGTATATGCCTCGGAAGAAAGTATCCGAAGAATTGCAATCTACTTATGTGGAGTGTCTACTATATGCCTTTCATGAATTGGCCCACAAGGTTACATTATAGATGAATTTTTTTTGTGTGCCTGGAAAATGACTTAAGTTGTGTTCATGATACCATCAATGGTGATTTTGATACAATCTACTTATTTTGCATCTTGAACATACCTTTGAAGAGTAGATGCCAAAATGCAGTTGGTTTGGATATTTTATGAGAGTCTTTCCAACTGCAGTAGTTTTACTCGCGTGGTAGCACATTTCATGTTTATTGCTTTTTATTTATTCATTTATAAATTCAATTATCTATTTGTTTTGCAGACTCCCAATACGACAAACAGCTTATGTGGCTATAAGATTGTGACTGGTCAACCATCAGACCGTTTAGGAGAGGATTTTGCAGAGCTCTTTAAAGATTTCAATGAGAGGTGAGAGTTTTTCCTTGCCACTTAAAACTTGGCCTACGTTTATGGAAGCTGGGTTGCACCTGTTTGATAATCCGTATCCAGTATACTTCTTGTGTTTGTCAAAAAGGAACGATATCTTCTTGCTAATGGAGATCGAAGTTTTGTATGCTTCAAGAACATGCATGCTTCAAGACGTGAACAAATGGCTGGGCAATTCTTTTCCTCAGTAACCTGGTCTATGCGGTGACTATCTGCCGCATATTTGATATGCCTCAAATCTTGCTGTGGTCGTATTCAGATTGACTGTAGTAGAGGAGCTGGCGAAGGCAGCCAACAAGAAATTAACGCAGGGAATGTCAGAACTTAACAAGGCATTGTCGGCAGCAAAAACTGACACCGAAAAAGAAGAAGTGGTAATGGACCGTAACTTCGCAGTAATCCACTAGTGTAGGAGATATTGAATGTGAAATGGAACGTATGAATTCTTCAGAATGGTCAGGTTTCTTTGATGAACATGTTCTGCGTATCTGCTCAGGATTTGCTATCTTAAAGTTAACTTGCCGTACTGTTGGTATTGAGTTGAGTTCTGAGCTTAGAGATGATATTTGAGCTGATCTGATGGCTGTTTTTTTGTTTCCTCATCTTTTGCAACTGAACCATACCTGCACAGAAAGCAAAGAAGCTCAGTTCAAGCACGAAGCTGCGCTCAAACAATAATATTGTAACTCTAGCTCAAGTAAGTTTTAATTGCCCTTTACTATCATGGTTTTTGTGATGTGCTTTGACTTCATAGGCACGAAGGTCTGGAAATTATGCTACATAAAATTCTCACAGTTGATGTTCTGTCAACCTTATCTTGACCCCCATGATCATGTCCTCTTCGGGATCATGCTCTTCATCCTGCCTCACTGCTTCTTGTTGTAGGTTCTGGTTTACAACAATTCTATTCTGGTTTATAACAATTCTATTCTGGTTTATATGTGACCCTACGCGTGTAGTTGTGTCATGATGCTGATGCAATATTTGTTTCTCGCAGCCTTTACACCAGAAAGTTCCTTCTTTCTTTGGAAAAGATAAAGTTATACATTTGTCTTGGAAGGAGAAAGATTCCTCAAAGCCAGCTCCAACTTCGGCTCCAACACATGCCGTTTCTGCAACACAACACAATGGAGGGTGGGCTAAACTAACTAGGACGCTTTATCCCACAAATTAGTTTTTTTCCCTTGTTTTTATCACACAGTTTACATTTTTGTTTTGTGGTATTAGTTTTTAGTTATGGGATCCGTACTGATTGCCTACGTCATTTTCGTCACTAAAAGACACTTATTCAACTCATGTTTTTTCATTTGCAGGAAGAAGCGCCAAAATCAAAACAACCAGAACAGTCATAATAACCAAAATGGCGGTGCCGCTTCAGCTCCAAAGAGAGGTCGTGGAGATGGAATGACTAGTCAGCTAGTCAATAGAGCACTTGCTGGGCTTGGGTCTTCTTCTAGGGGTGGTTTCGGCAGAGGCGGAGGAAGTGGGAGAGGAGGCAGGGGTGGCTGGCGTGGGGGCCGTGGTAATCGCAATAGAGATTACTAGCTTTGATTGAGGAATCGTTTGGTTAGTTTACCATGTAATATCAGATCATTACAAATCAAGTGATATTACATGGTGGGGATGCCCATGAGGCTCTACATGTTTCAGCTGATCAAGTTTTACTCTGATTTAGTTGGTCGAGGAGAAATATCCCCTGAGCTCCTACTGCTCAGACATTGCTAGGCCCATGAAGCCTTTGTTTTACTGCTACTTGAAAATGCGACCTCAAATCCGGTTTCATAAAAATCAAATGACCTTGTAATCAATTCTCAAAACAAGAAATCGTTTGTATTTATTGGCATCTCGACAACCTTGGATAGACATTAGACGTATTGTAGTGTTACTAATCAAAATCAAATGATGATGTGGAGACACCGAAGTATATATGTATGTGTGCATCTGCTTGTAAGTGGTGATTTTGCAATGTGAACCAGGATATTGTGTGAGAACATTACAAGCTGAAACTTACAGATTTAAGTAAAAGTTGTTACTAATTGTCAGGATACTTTTTATTGAAGGTAGTTACGTCAAGTATCATATTTGTCCATAAATACAAGTGTGATTATGTGGTTAAATACACTTGAACATAATTGTTATACCACGTTTATTGTGTGGCTGATAGTCAAGACATTGTAGGATTGACAGACTTGAAGGATGAAATCTAATGCCTAGTAGATTTATTCAGTAACAAACAAATGCGACCTGCAGTTGTGTAAACCAGCTTTGGCTTGTGCATGACCATGGGGCATTATTTGGGTTTGTTTCTCGGTCATTGATCTTCGAAGTTGTTGAGATCATTAAATGTACCTGGCGCTCTCCATAACATTTACTATAGACTACAGTAAATACTGTAGCTATAGTATTTAGAGTCTAGTGGAGAAGTATTGTATATCCTCTTCCTTTTTTTCTTCTTGTACATGAGACACAACCAGATCAATAGATTTTTCATGTATGAAGCTCTCTCTCATTAGAAACCCTCTTGTGTGTATGACTTACTACTACTCTTGTGTATGTGTATGACTTACTATTACTCTTGTATCTTTCTAAACATTCTCAACACGTTATTAGCACGACTCTCTTCTACACACTATCACAATTTTTTTTGCTCTAGTCTTGACTCTTCAAACTTGTTGCTCTTCTTGCTAGCCCCTCACACATTAGCTGCTTGCTTAGAGCACTTGTTCCACTCTCTGCCCTGCTTGCTTAGAATACTTGTTTAAAATACTTGATCCAGCCCAACTCCACCCCAGCTTGCTCCCTGCTGCTGAACTGCCACCGAACAACTGCCAAACCCGCGATTGCTACCTTGTTGCCGTTGATGCTCCCGGCCACTGCTGTTGCCGCCCTAACGCCGCTGCCGCTGCCACCTTGCCGCCCTACTGTTGCCATCCTACCACTGCCTACTGTTGCTGCCATCTTATTGCTGTTCTGCTGCCTTAATCCACAATCTCTCCTTTATATATATATATATATATATATATTTGTTTTTTTCAAGTTCAAGTTTATCATTTTATTTGACTTTATATTTTAAGGTACGTTTTACTCAACTTTTCTACTTGATCTTGTATTTTCTTTACAGATTTATTATAATGAGTGCTTCAACATCTTCAACTGCTTCTACTATGGTTCCAACTATTACCAGTGTATCCCAATATTTTCAAGCTCTTTTATTTCCACCATTGACTGTGGATGGAAACAATTATCTATTATGGGCAAAAATGGCAAAAACAAATTTATTTGCAGAACAACTCTCGGATGCCATTATGTTTGAAGAATTTCCTACAATGAGTATTTCTATACCTCCTGCTATTCATTGGAAAGCACTTCTTCTCCTTTGTCGTCATCTTGTACCTGTATTACAATATCAGTATTTGAAAATGGAAGATCCTGCAAAACTTTGGAAGAATCTCAAATCTAGGTTTGATCATCAAAAGACCATTTTTCTTCCACGTGCACGTCATAATTGGATACATTTATCTGTCTTGGATTTTCCAAATTTAAATGCTTTCAATAGTGAAATATATAATATTATCTCACAATTACGATTAAAAGGATAGAAAATTTCTGAAGAAGAAATGATTGAGAAAACTCTCTACATTTCCTCCTGTATCTGCAGTGCTTGTACAACAATACAGGAACATGAAATTTCAGAGTCATTCTGATCTCATATCCTATCTACTTCATGCGGAGAAGCAAAATGAGCTACTCTTGCGCAATGCAGAAGCTCGTCCTATTGGAACTACAGTTCCAGAATCTCATGTACTTAATATTTCAAAGTCTAAGAAGAAATTATATAAACATGGGAAACATGCTCATAAGTATTAGGGTAGTCATAGTCATGACCATTTCTACCTACATGGAAAGAATAAACGTTCTATTATTAATTATAGTTAAAAAAAAAATCAGAGATGCGTTCTTGCCATAAGTGTGGAATGATTGGACATTTAGCACATGTGTGCCGTACTTCAGAATATTTTATTAAAATGTTCCAAGAAAATAAGAAATTATAAGCTAAGGCTTGTGAAGTTCATACCATGGATGCGTCCATGGATTCAATTGGTGTTGATGACTTAGAGGCTTATATGAATGATAGAACTTCTAATGATGAATCAAATGATGCGCTCATTGATTCTGCAACAACATATACTATCTTGCAAGATAGACGATTTTTTATTGAAAAATCTTCAACTTGACAAACTAAAAATATGATGACCATAGTTGGAGCAAATGCATTTTATTTCCAAGAAGGCACAGCGATGGTAAAATTACCTACAGGTTCCATCATAAAATATAAACATGCGATGTTTGCACCTTCAGCACCTCGAAGTCTGATCAGCTACCGAGATATGCGTATTAATGGTTATCATCTCTCGACCGCCATTTTAAATAGAAAAGAAATTTTGGTTCTTACGAAGAACCATAAAGTTGTTGAAAAAGCTTTTGGTATAGAAAATGGTTTATACCAAATTATGATTCGGCCTCCCATTATATTTAATTTTGCATCATCTATCACAGAGAGTCGTGTTTCTCTCTGGCATGGACGATTGAGATATCCAGAATCCATTATTTAGAAAGATCATTCCATATATAACTAGGCACAATTTAAAGCCTACAGATGTAGACTCTATGAAATTATGTCGTGCATACGTGCAAAGTAAAATAATTACTCGACCTTCAATTTGGAAACTTCCACAAGAATTACCACCAATGCTTGAAAGATTGCATGGTGATATTTGTGGTCCTATTAATCTAATATCAAGACTATTTCGTTATTTTTTGGTCCTTGTTGATGCATCAGGTAAACAATCACATGTTTTATTATTATCAACTCGAAACATGGTGTTTGCCAATCTTATATCTATGCTTATTTGTTTTTGGGCACATTTTCTTGATTATCCTATAAAAATATTGCGCATGGATAATGCAAAAGAATTCACATCAAAGTCTTTTGAAGACTATTGTACTGCAACAGAGATCGAGTTGACATATTGTATTCCATATGAACATGCTCAAAATAAAAAACTGCTATTGAGGAGGAGTATGCCTCTTTGAGTAAGAGGAAAGTCTTTGGTCCAATTGTAGATACTCTTACATCTCTCCGTATAGGATATAAGATGGTATTAATATGCAAGTGAGATGCTCAAGGTCAAATAACCCGCTATAAAGCTCGTCTTGTTGCTCAAGGATTTACTCAAGAATTTGGCATTGATTATGAATCCACATATTTTCTAGTCATGGATTCAATTACATTTTGATATATTATTGGAATGACAATTCATGCCACCTTTGAGATGCATCTGATGGATGTAGTATTTGCATATCTATATGGTTCTCTTGATGCAAATATTTATATGAAAGTTCCACCCAGCTTAGAAATAGGAACTCCAAATCGACCCGCTCCAAGACAATATCATGGTATTAAATTATATAAGGCCTTGTATGGTTTAAAACAATTCGAACGCATGTGGTATCAACATCTTCGAGATTATTTAATTACAAATAATTTTATAAGTGATCCACTAATCCCTTGTTTGTTTATCAAACAAGATAAAATTGATTTTGTGATCATCGCTGTATATGTTGATGATCTTAATCTAGTGGACACTACATCTACATGTGTTACAGCTACTAATCTACTTATACGTGAATTTGAGATGAAAATGCTAGGAAAAACAACTTTCTGCATTGGTCTTCAGATTATGCATCTAACAGATGGTTTCTACCAATTAACATATATTAGACGAATCTTGCGAAGATTTAATATGATTGATGCTTATCCATTGTCCACACCAATGGTTGGACGTGGTCGTGATGGTCATGATCCATACCGTCCATGTGAGGAGGAAGAGAAAATATTGGGAGATCGATATCCATACCTCGCAGCGGTTGGAGCACTTTTGTATTTAGCTACATCTACAAGACCAGATATTGCATTTGTAGCTAGTGTTCTTGCAAGACATAGTGCATGTCCAACACTATGATATTGGAATGGCATCAAACATTTATTACGTTATTTAAAAGATACTAAAGACTTGGGATTATACTACACACAATCTGCAGATTCAAAATTAGTTGGATATTGTAATGCAGGATATAAATCTGATATTGCAACAACTAAATCTCAAACAAGATATGTATTTTTAAGACATGGAGCTATAATATCATGGAAATTAGTAAAACAAACAATAACTGCAACTTCATCCAACCATGCAGAAATTACTGCCTTACATGAAGCATCTCGAGAATGTATTTGGTTGCGATCAATTGATAAATTCATTCAAACAACCTGTGGATTTTCATATGATGATTCTCCAACTATCTTACATGAAGATAATAGTGCTTGTATTGCACAGATGCAAGTTGGTTTCATTAAAGTCGACAGGATAAAACATATTGATTCAAAGTATTTTAGTTATACCCATGACTTGATTACTGAACAAGCACTTATAATTAAGAAAATTGAATCTACAAATAACCTTGCTGATCTCTTCACCAAAGCTCTCCCATTAAGCAACCATTGTCAACTTATTTATGGCATTGGTATGCGGTGACTTGCTTTTCTTGAATGAAAAAGTTAATGAAACCTTTAAATAATTAAAGAGAATGATGTTGTACTCTTTTTCCTTCATCTATGGTTTTGTCCTTAAATAAAATAAGGTTTTCCTAAATAAGGTTTTAATGAGGCAAAAATTGTTGATCTTGCAAGATCACAGAAAAGTATAGATCATAATTCTATACAAATTTTATATTATGTAAATATTATGATGAGCGAGGAGGAGTGTTGAGATCATTAAATGTAGCCGACGCTCTCCATAATATTTACTGTAAACTATAGTAAATACCATAGACTACAATAAATACCATAGCTACAATATTTAGAGTCTAGTGGCGAAGTACTATATATCCTCTCCCCTTTTCTCTTCTTGTATACGAGACACAACCAGATCAATAGATTTTTCATGTGAGAAGCTCTCTCTCCTTAGAAACATGACTTACTACTACTCTTGTGTGTGTGTATGACTTACTATTACTCTTGTGTCTTTCTAAAGATTCTCAACAGAAGTAACCAGGAAAAAGATGTCCTTTCCACCAGTTCAAATTGCAACAAGGAAGCGCTATGTAAGGGTCAACACTTTGATCATAGTTGTCGAAACCGAGACTCCTGGAACGGATACAGAAGCCTAGTATGATACAATTATAAGGTAGCTGCGACAGCCCAATATACATGGATTGAAATAATCCAAAGAAATGTTCAATAATAAAACCTAGTACCATTGACTCCGCAGCAGGTTTCATCATGTGTATCTGGCGCAACTTCAAGCAAACAAATTGCAAACTAGTTTCTTGCCTGCTCACTCTATGATTCACCAAGTGTTGTGTACTCCTTTTCGATCGCATTGTCGTCGGCATCTAACCTGCACTACAACGATCACAGAAATAAAAATATACACTAATATCCAGATTGCTCGCGCTTTACAATACGATCTATTAAGGATTGCCTGGTGTACATTTGCTTTAGAAGGATGGAGCTATTGCGCACTGATGATTTACCCGACGTGCGCATCATCCTTATCGAAAGGTAAGAGGAGGTTCAGAACCATAGCGATTAGTCCCCCGATTGAGAATCCATTCGTGAGGACGATGATGAGCGAGTCCCTAAACCCTAAACACATGAAGTTCCACACTCAAATTAAAGCACCAGAAAATCACCCATTTATGAATCTGAAGAGACACGGGATATGGCTTACAGAATCGCAACCTCACAAAATTAAACTTGAAACATGATGCAAGATTTCGTACCTCGGAAGCTTGGAGACCAGGCGGGATTCACCGGCCAAAAATTTCCTTCAAAGGGATATGCAGCCTGTCCAGTAATATTGGCCCAAGCAGGGACGAGAGTGACTCCCATTCCAACTCCGATGGCCATAATAGCGATAAACCGATTCCGCCTGTTCAGTCCTTCTCCAAAGTTGAGCACATGAATGCCGGAGACCACTACCCCCGTGAAGAGGAAAGTAGTCATGCCGCCCAGGACACAGTTGGGAATTGTCAAGATGATGGCTGCAAATTTCCCGACAATGCCGATTACAAAGAGCCACCCACAGCAGGCGTATCCTGCGTACCGAGAAGCGCATCGAGAAAGAGACAGAACGCCGTTGTTCTGCGCGTATGTGGTGACGGGTGTGATCGTTCCTAAGGCTCCGAGGAAGGAGTTCATCCCGTCAGCCAAAACGGCTCCCTGGATGCGTTGCTCGAATTTCTCTCCGACAGGTTCGAGGTGACTGGCTTCAGTGGTAGCGGTGATGTCTCCGATGCACTCCATCGTGGTGACCATGAAAGCGAACAACATGGGTAACACGGCAGGTCCGTAGAAACCCAGCGGAAACCGTCGCATCCATAAAAAGGTCATCCATTTAGCATCTGCGATCTGCTTCCCCGTTACATATCGTTTTGTAGTGCAGACACCCTCGATGCAATCTGTGTAGTGGACGTTGGACGCAACAATCATACCCACAAGCAACCCAACGACAACTTCCGTGTTCCGAATAAACGGGGAACCAAACATTTCCGCGAAGATTATTGAGAAGAAAACAACCAGCCCAAGTCCCAAGTAGGCGCGATGTCCAAAAGGCAGCACCACTTCTCCATTTCCAGTGCAAGGTACCCTGGTGGTCAACACCTGCGCACAAACACGATGCAAAATGCTTCATCCCAGCAACCAAGAAGAATTAAATGCATATTCATATTCTCCATTCGGTTGCAAGAGCTTCCCCAACGCTCGACACTGTACGAGAAGACGACATTTACCTGGCTGCTGCAGTAGACGCCTCCTCCCCAATTCTGGAACCCGGAGCCAATAAGCGCGGCTCCGAGAAGCACAAGACAGGTTCCTGTAACCACTGGGGGGAAGACGCGGCGTAGCACTCTGGACGAGACAAACGATATGGCCATCTGGAAGAAGCAGCAAACCAGAAGCTGCAGGCCAGGATTGTGTAAAAATTCAGGCATCAATCACTTCGCTGTCAAAATCGATGATGGAAGATCAGACATGGTCACAGAAATTGGCTGCAAAGATCAGGGGTACGAGATGAGATAAGAAGTACTAACAGTGCCAAGGACTTTGCCGTAGGCCTCCTCAGGCGTATGGCATTTTCCGACGAGAGGGCTGGTACACGCCACACATGTGCCTTCGAAGGTGCATGGCTCTCCATCGCAAGCGCACTGACTGAGGGTTGTGATCACCTGCTGGGCAACGGGAACGAAGGAGAAGGATACGCCCATCACCGATAGCAAGCCTGAGCCTATGACGTACCGTGTCCCAGGTATCTTAATTTGCATCACCTGGATGAACGAAGCAATGGCCGCAACTATCAGCGCCGCGGAGACCAGATCTGCAGGCGCCGATCTCAACAGACCGCTTTCTATTTAGCAGGAGCTTCATCACGAATTTCAATTTCTAGTGAAGGACTGGCATCAGAAAGCATTATCTCCGGGAAATGCTTGAAAACTACAAAGTGTAACTGGGTTTGAAACCGTACATGCTTGGTTCTCCGGTTTAAAACCAGTCATGGAAATCAATAGTGGCGGAGAGATGATTCCTCCCACCTGTTCCGAACAAAGAACAGCAATGTTAAACGGCATTTTCGGTTTACGAAGACCACCAGTGACGGGAAGCTGCAAAAGTTGAGTAGACAGGATTGCGTAGGGCTTGCCATGGCAAGAGCATGTTGGACGCCCATGACAACAGCAATCAGCAAGGAGAGCTTGTCGTCTTTGCCGTAGAAGGGGGGCAAAGGTCGATCATACTGCCATGGTGGAGTTGGCATGCACAAGAATCGCCAATTGTAATCCCCGATCAACCGATTCGCCCATACACCCCCCATCGCCTTCCTGCTGCGCCCCTCCTTACAACCCCACCTTCGCCAACGCCGTCACAACAGTAAAAAGTGTCCACATTCACGGCATTTCATGCCTTGCTCCGTGGTCGCAGTTAGTCTAATTGTTTCTCAGCTTAACACAATAGAAGCATTAGCCGGTTTAGTACATCGAGTCCAACCGCAGCTTTCTGGAATCCTCACACAAATCATAAATAGCATCAGAACAAGCGCCACGGTTAGAGTGAAGTCCACGAAATAGAAAACCTTGAACGTCAGGTCGAACTTCGTGTGACATTCATCAGGAATTCTGAAGAACCAACCTACTTTCGTCTCATGTTAGTTCCCCTCGCAAAACTCCGAGGAAACTCCATCAGTTTTTGCCTTGCAATCTCAAACGAACTCCTACCCCCCAGTCTAAATGATCCTCACCACTGCCGTGATCACCGATTGGAGAGCGAGCAAGGTCTATATTAGGAAATTTCACGCCTGGAGAACAGCGCCACCTTTCCGCAGGAATTGAAAGGAAGTCTCAACGAGCAATGATGCGGAGAGTATGGGTAACCTCTTCTGGACGCAAGCAGGAACGTCTGACTACACGGAACTGACAGAGCCAGAATCATCAACAGCAAAACAATCTGTTGAACTCCAGTTTATATTTGCTTACATCAAATCTCAAATGGTACCCATCTCACCTAAGCTGGAAAACCTGCAGCAAGAACATTCTACCGAGCTCATATCTCACAACAACACAATGCTCGGCACAATAAAAACCCTTAAGCACAAACTGGGATAAGTTTAAGTACCAGATACTGTTGTGAGGCGATCCACGCCACTGTCTGCGAAATGATCCGCAAATAGAACAATTGCAGATCCTAGTGAGAACACCCCTCCTGCAACATTTATGTGCTTCATGATTTCTCGACGTTAGCCATGGATTCTCTGGAAGTAAGGTTGACCTTGTCGGTATCAAATCCAAATTGAGAATTACAATTAAGGATCCAATACTACCCATTGTGAAGACTTTTTTTTATTGTGCCTCCACAATTAGGTGGCTACTATCAAGCCTTATAGATTGGCAAATCAACATTAGGCTTTAGAGATTAGACACATGTCGAATGTCCGCAACATCCGAGGTTAGTCACTTACTCCCATCAGTTTCAAGTTCTGTCTCCCCGTAATAGAGAAGTTAAAATGGAATTAGGGTTTTGATTTCCTCGTTTCAGTCTGTAGACAACCAACAATAACTAGATTCGATTAGAATTTGTCTGTCAGAGTTTGAAGGGGTGGTTTCCAACGGAGGAGAAGAACCAAATAAAGCTTTGTTGACAGATGATGGTATGCATGAACCAATCATGGTGCACGTGAAATGAATGATCCGAAGAACAAGCAATAGGGACAACTTTAGCTTACACAAAGGTAAGCTAAAGGTTACTTTTGGCAAATCATTCTCTCTCTCTATATATATTGATACTTTAGATATTTTGTAGATATTTTATCTTAAACTATTGGAGTAAATACAATATAATAATAATAAAATCTAGATTGTTAAATAAATATACCAATATTGTATGTCTTATATGTGGTAAACCATCTAGGAATAATTTGATTGATAAATTAATCAATCGGTAAAAACAACGAAACAACACTCTCTTTCCAGAAAAATAATTGTTAAAGGCTACTATTTTTTTTTACTTAAAAACAAACTCTATGGACATTACAAGTCAAACTTTTGTATTATGCAAATCAGTCTATAAGTAGAATGTGAATATTCTAACTTTGATACAAAAGTTAAATAGGATTTCAAAATAGTTGAGGGAGTTGGAGCAATTAATTTTATTTATTTATATTACTCTTGGTAGTCCTTTTGAAAAATATCTCAAGATTGCCCCACAATGAGTTATTGGAATAAAAAAAGTATCAAGAATCAATCAAGATAATTAAAAATATAATAAGTAGTCTGGAGTTTTGGAGTTTTGTCCAAACTTACAGTTTTCCTAATTAATTTCATAATCAATTGTTATATGTATAAAAATACTCTATTATAATGTTTTGTTTTCATATTTAGTACATGATAAAATACTGTAAATACTAAACAACAATCAAATCCAAAAGTAGTCATATACACCTGATGGAGAGATAATAATGGATATGACAAGTAGACTTAGTCAACATATTATAGTGCTTGAGAGACTATATCAATAAATATCTTATTATTAAAAATAAATTAAAATATTAAAAATTTATCAAATATTATATAAGTTTAATATTAAAGTTGATTATATATATATATATATATATATATATATTTAAACTATAATTTTTTAAAATAAAAGAACTTAATAACCAAAGAAGACAAAGTAATTTTGCCAAAGAAGTGTGTATATAATAAATCTACATGTTTGAAGGAATAATTTTATAATTTTTTAAAAATTATATTTATTGAAGAAGTCTAAAATATCAAATTATTATAAAGAATAACTTTAACTTTGGATGCAATCAACAACACTATTTTAAAAAAAACATTTATCATTTGGCAAGTTACAATTCAATGCACTCTTAAGGTAGTATTACACGAATTCTATCAAATAATTTAATATTCAACCAATACTATTGCCACATCAATAACACCTATCATAAAAATATTAATAGTACTACCACTATTTATAATATTTTTCTTTCTTTCGTGCCAACTAATTTCAGCCCTCAAATACCATCTTTTAAGATCTAGGATGTATGTTGAATAAATACACTAATTCTACACCCTGATTATATACCCTAAATCCTGTATGTATACCTTGAGTGTTGGATTGCAATTTTGTTGATACAAATGATCCCATGGGTTTTGATGCCTCACACATTCCAGCTCTTTGCAAACAGTCCGAGTGCTGCAGGTGAAAAGTGCTCATTCACTGGTTGCAGAGAAGGATACGGTGAATTGCATCACTCGTTTCCAAACTATCGTATCAGAATGCGTATGGTACAATTTGTTCAGTCAGTTTGAACGTTTAACACCGTTTGTAACTGATCCGACTGGAGGTTGATGGCGGCCAAAGGGCTCGAGCAACGGTATTTTTGCTTAAGCATGTACCCTTTCGTTCCGAACAGACATTGTTCTCTGTCTGTTCCCTGCAGAATCGTGAGAAGGGGGGGGGGATCCACACGATGGAATATTGGAGTGTGGCTGAACCGAAGTACCACGCCACAACTTCTTTCAATCCTTCAGGACACGGCAGTTAAGAATTGGATGATGAAGTTGTAATAAAAGTGAGTTTCTGGCTGCAGAGATCGAGTCTCTGGGAGCTGTCACCATTACTAAAGAGAGTCCTTTTTCAAGTCGTAGTGTGACAATTATGTGCCCTCTCTTAGTAAATCGAGAGTTGCCCACACCCACTGCTTTGAAATTTTCTAGCGCTTGATTTAAGGTCTGGTGACACTTACATGAAATGAGATTTGATGTCCAACTGTTTCCGTTGTGCTCAGATAGACACCAAAGTGATCATTCCTGGAGAAGAGAAATGTGATATTTCATCGTCCTGCAGAAAATGTGCAAGCAAATCTGCAAAGTATGCAATGGCATATGCACATGCCATTACTGCAAAGGGGCCGAAACTGTTCGAATCCACAGTAAAGCCAACGCAAATTACAACGTTGCAGTGCGAGGCACAGTCGGCCACGGCACTTGTATCGTGATGGCAGATGACACAGACTCGAGTCAGCTGTGGCTGAAGGATGACAAGATGGCATGGACCTTTGACAAGAAGGGTGGATTTTCCATAGTACACAAGGATACGATGAAAGCCATTCGAGTTGCCCCGGAGGAAGGGAAACAAGTGCTTCTGGCAGACTACGACCCACGCAAGCTCGATGAGAGCTTGATCTGGTATCAGTCCTCCAATAGAGGCAGAAACTACCACACCATCTATAACGGCACCTCGGAGACCGTGTTGCATGCACTTCGTTGCACGCAGTGTGAATTAATGCAGCCATGCACCGAGGGCAATGCGCATATGAAAGAAAACACACTAGTTGTGGTCATGAAGGACCGAACGAAGAAAGATGACCCTGCAACTGTTGCAATGAACCAACTCTGGAAGCTCACTCCGTCTAAATGTCGCTTCTAGCAATAGAATCACTTCAGGGTCAAGGTTGACCGACCTTACTCCTTCAACTTGTTCAGACCATCAACACCATTTTATCACAACCCAGCTTTTCCTGCAATTTGAACAATTTGAGGCATAGTTGCGGATGGGTGAATTAGTTCCATCTTCCACGACTGTAGATTCCTCGTGATGTGAAACTCCTGAAGTGGGTAACTACAATCCTGGTCCAACTGATGAGTGACGAACAATTATTCTACTATCTGAATTGCATTTTCCTATCTGAGGAATCGGCAGGTTTGAGATCAAGTAAAGTTAACTCAAGAGTTTTACTTGTGTCCCGAACATCTGCATAGAATGCCACATTTTGTATTAATTAAGTGGAATGATTTAATACAAGTAATATTTCAAGCTTTGGATAATTGATTTAGTTTTGATTTCAATGTTTTATTTACATGGTTATTAAGTGAATTTGACAAAATCAAGTAGTAGGTATACATCTAGTGATAATTAAATCCAATTTAATGAAAAAATTGATATTTTAAAGTTGAGTGTCATAATAGGTGTATGATTTTAGCCAATTATTAGAAAGCTCTATTAGTGGCTTTTTTCTACTCCTATAATTGAATGTAGTTAATTAAAACCAAATATTAGTGATTTAAAAATGTGGCATAAGATAAAGTTTTGTAATAGATATCTTTTTATAAGAAATGGTTTTCAGAAGAATTTAAGGTGACTCAGAATTGAGCATGTAGAGCCACAAGTTGGAAAATAAATCAAGAGAATAGAAAAAATGTAGATGACAACATATTGAATTCAATATGTTAGAAATGGTGTTAAAAAAAGAGCAATGTTAAATAGATCCAAGTTTTTACCAAATCAACCTATCCATGATGAAGAATATAGTAATCATGACAAGTGTGGTTGGTTTTCATTGGTTTCAAATCTAGTAGTGGAGAAATGAATCTAAAGGTCCATTTTTTTTTTTTTTTTTTTTTTTTTTTTCTTCATGATAGTTAAGATAGGTGGGTAAAAGCTTGGATCTAACATTCCCCTAAAAAATTCTAGTTATATATTTTCCATCATCCGTTGATCTTTTTGCAAATTCCATTGCTACAATGTCTACACATTATAATAACATTTAATTACTTGTTGTAGAATCCACTTCCTACTCTTAACAGCAAAGTTGGAACTAGTTGTAGGAGGCAAAAAAAAGAGCTTTGAAACAAACCTAGTCTCCCCCTTTCTCATATGTAACAAGCATTACCCTAGTTGCAAGAGAGGGGCTTAGAGATAAAAATGAGCCCCCTCTTTCTCCATTATAGCAAGCTATAAGCTTGATGACAGAGAAAAAACGAGGGAGGAGAATACATAGCTAGTATAATATACACTGAAGATATGCAGTGTGACGCCTATAAATGCTTGGAACGCCTTAGCATGATGGTGCTTCAACACCCGTGTCTTCCAATAGATCTCTGGGCAGCTCAAATTTTCCAGGGCCCTGATCAGATCTGGGCCGCATCACACCAGGCCGCTAGCGCTTGGCAGCCCAACTTCGGCTGCGCAGGCTGGGTTCGATCTATCCTCATCTGCCCGTCAGGATGAAATAAAATCGTGCAGGTTATAACTAGAGACCAGTTTTGTCAAACTGCTAAGTAACCATTCTTGGTTTAGTCTAACTTTTGGGATCACTTATTCAAGACTGCATACAGCATAGGTACAAATTGTTCTGGAAAACTAAAAATGCCACGACTTGGAAAATCAATTTACTTATATACACTGATGCACATTCAGTGAACATTCAATAATCGCAATTAAATTAAATTTAACCATAAGATGATATTATGTAATAAAAACAAGCAAAAAATACATAGGGGAACAACAGAAACAAAAACAAAGGAGGGAAAATCTATTGAAAGAAATATGAAAAATCCACCGCCAAGATGGTCATATGATGAATCTACAAACATTATCTAGGCACTATTTTTTACACAAGCAACGAAAATGAGGGGTGAAACTAACGCTCTGGCCCCTAATTAGGATTGTGACAAGCAGGTATCCTAGGAAAAATTCCAAGTTGGATAAATAACAAGGCCTGTTGGTACTACGACATAGACAAAGCATTTGAAATCTGCTCTTACCCGCAACTTAGTTAGTCAAGTACTTCTATCTGTAGTGGCCAATGGTCACGATTTGACCCCATTTACTATCATCACGTCGAGCAGGCCTCATTGAGGATTAAACAGGCAGATCCCCGTTGAAATTTATCTCCTTTACGTTTCTGGCTCCCTCAGGTGCTGCAACAGCTGTTGGCATGAAGCGGTTGGAACCCTCCGTTAACAACGTTCGAAAGTTGAAGCTCCTGCTCTTCTTTATACTTTTAGTTCGGTCTCGAGAGTCTTTTTGACGACTAATATCTCCAAAAGCGCCTTCTTGTGAGCGTGACTCCATATACGCTTGTAAGTTCTTCATTAACGCCTCCATACGCCGTCGGTGCGTAGGTAATCGTGAAATGGAGTTGGTAATACCCTGAAGCCTGTGATGCAAAGTCCATATATATACAATTGTTTAGAACTCTACAAGAATCTCTGTCTGAGCCACAGTTTTTCATGGCACTGATGAGCAATGCCAGGATACCACTCTTGTTCGTAAGTATTCAAGTAAGTATAACTGAACACTTAGTCGTTTTGTAGTTCCAATTTAAGTGAGGCTTCAAAAACACCAGGATGACACCTTTAGAAGCCAGAAAGTTTGAGGGACAAATATAAATTCAAAATAACAGCCCCGACCGTGCCGATTAAAATTTTATTTCTGCAGTGCCGTATTGAGTTATGGATTTGCTAGCATGCAGCATTATGTTGTTCAAAATAATACATCGACGCATTTATGATCTGCACGAGCAGGCTTACCGTCGGGCCATGGCTTGTAATTCTCCTTTTCTTACACCATCTTCAGGTCCTACACCGCCATTTTCCCAGCTTTCTATACGCTGAGTGTCACCAACCATCAGACAAAGTTTTTCAAGAAAACGCTCCTCACTTTCTTGCAGATTAGCTGCCCGTAACTGATCTTTAATAGTCAGAAGTGGTTCAAAAAACCAGTCTGATATGCGATCTCTGGGCTTGTTACTCGTGGTGACTTCGGTTCCGTCATCTGCCCAAGTGAGAACTGCAGTAGTAAGATACAACTCAAAAGCAAATGAACCGTTTCACAATAAACTAGACAATCCAACGAGATACACTACGTTCAGAGAAGACGAGCAAAATGTTTATGAAAAATCATCTTTGAATCCTAATGATACTCAAACAGAAGACCTTGAATGGTTCCGAAATAACAGTCTAAATTTGAAGATAGAAAAGCATTCCAATTGTGATGCTTTTTCTTTTTAACTTGTGATATGATGACTTCTCAATGTATGTTCGTGGTATACTTACAATCATCTCATGTCCAATCATCTCATGTCCTAAAGCTAGGCGAAGAGGAAAATCACTCAAGAAGAAAGAGTTGTGGTAATATGATTACATAAGAGAAAGCCAGTGGTATTTGATTTGGCCGAGCGCACGAGTAGACGTAGATTGCTATACGCTGGTAACCCAACTGTCATAATTTTAAACGCAGACTTGTTCCCCTTCAGCGCAGCATCAATATCCGCCTGCTTCAATACGCCAGCATTTATTAAGGTTTTCCCTTCAACCTCCATAGCTTGAAAGGATGCATCCATAATCTGCATCCAAAAATGATACCTTGAGACTAAATATCTGAAGCGATGAAATAAACATAGGACTTTGCTATTTGTTTCCTTAACAAACCAATTGGCACATACCACAAACATGAAATAGGGGTGACAACATTACATGACTGGGGGCTAGTTGGATTTTCATCCACTTCCCATCCTCGAAAACCAGTAGAAAATTTATATGAAAGAATCAATAAGTTTTTCATAATAGTAGACTACTTTCCGCTCCATTCAGATAGTATGAATCATTCTGCGAGGTTAAGTTGTAACATTTTCCAAAGACCCAGCATAGTTTCACAATCACAATACTTAAATAGCTTACAAAAGGACTAAGGTCACTCGTTTCAAGAGACACATGTCTTCTAAAGAAGTCCTTTAAGTATCAAGAATCCATTTTCTATGACATTCCGAATATACAATGATCGTGTAGTTGTCCACTGAAAGTTTATTTCTAGAAAATTTAATCTAGAAAAGTACAGAATAAGACCAGCCTGTAGAACTTAAATCTCATATTTTGAATTTTTGTAAGCACGAAAGAAGTACCCTCACCTGCACGAGCTTCACTTCCTGTAAAGTGTGTCGGAGAGACTTTTGAGTGTTGAGCTGTGGTATGGCGGCCTTACGTTCAGGTTCTCTCTGAGAGCCTTCGATGTCCGATTTTCCAGCTGCTTCATCTACTTTCCAGCTGCTCTTTCGATATTTGGGCCTAGCCGTCCACAATGTAGATTAGATATATTGAAACTTGGCTACTCATGGAAACTTTTGACAGCACAAGTCTCAGACATAAAACAACTCAATGGATTATAACATAAAGTGGAGTAATTTCTGAGAGGGACCCACAACCATACTCATGAAGGATTAACAAAGTACTGTCATCAAAATACTATCGGGTTTATAAAGCGCTTCTCTCCACAAGCAAGCAAGACAATACCTAGGTAGACATGATCCTTCATGAGTATGAAGAACATCGTTGGAGTATTCGTCAAACTCTGCCACTATAGCAACTATATAATTTAGCCCGCATTTGTATGACATCTCCTGCAAAAAGGATAGAAATTCTCAAGATGTGGTGGCTCTAAAGATAAGATTGAAAGGTATAACGAACAGTCATGTTTGCAACTAATGGCTAGAATAGTTTACGAATGTGTGTCATTTTTCAGTTAATCTCACGCAAAACTACGAACAAACCATTCACGGGATTTTGAACCCATACGGAGCTGCAAGAGTGTAGGCAACAAAAAAAAACTTACCTGGTACACCACAACAGCACTGTACAATCCAAGGAATGGACTGCAGATGAAAGCAGTGAGGGCAGACGCCACAACTACGAAGGGCCAAAAGACCAACGCAAGCCCAGCGAAAGGCACACATGCCGCCTCCAAGCACGGACCGTGTCTAGTCACCAGGTCTTCCAATATTCGCCGCCATCCTTTGAAAAGCATAATTGGTGTTTTGCAAAACGCCACAATACCTATTGCTGGAGTGTCCACAATTACTCCTAATATTCCAACCAATGCACATACAGGAAGCTCGTGTAACCTACACAAAAAACAATATCCTTACGCGTGCTCCTGATCCAAGTATCCAAATCAAATAGATCAACACAGCAACAATAAATGTGATATATCCCTGAGATCTTAAAGCAAGGATAACCGAGAGAGGTAAGGGAGATGATTTTACGTGATTTCAATAGGCTTGCCATTTTTAGGTTCCCCGAGACGAAACTCGTCAAGGGAATCTAAGATAGAGTGATAGACGAAGTCAAAGAAGTCCCGCACAGTAGTACAAGATCCAGTCACAGTGCTCACAGTGCCATCCTGATGTAGCCGAGAAAGAACAGCAATTCATTACATTTTAACGAGGAGAATAATTGTAAAACTGTCAGCAACTGAAAGTTACATTCGAAATTGATTGCTCGAACCAATATCCCAAAATATTTGGTACAGTTTCGGTGAAACCTATATGTTTAAAATACACAAGAAACAGACATCTTGTGGAACACATTAGGGAGCAAGCTCTCCTTACCGCAAAGGCGTGATAGAATTTCTTCTTTCTACCTTCTCCCACCGCTTCAAAAGTTGCTACCAAAGGTTGACCGATTCCATAACCCAAGCCCGTGACTATACTTCCAACTGCTGCTACAATTGGCCAGATCACCAGTGGAATTGGTAGCAACAAAATAATAAGCGTCTTCAATACAGCTCCTAGTTGCCTCGTTCTGTCAAACAAACCACATTATAACAATAGCAAAATCAACAAGCAGTTCTCGATGCTTATAAACAAGAATGTTTTCACTAATACTTGTTTACGAGAAAGCAACAAACGTTCCATGCTGGTAACTGACTTAAGTTGCAATAATGCCCTCAAAGAATACGCAATGGAAAAAATGTGTAACACGCCTGTTTGAAATGCGTATCAAGAAAAAATTCGAATTTCGGACGACAGGATTTGAGAATACTGAAGGTACCACACTTGCACAATTCTTAAGCAAATGCTGTTTCTGCTCATGCTGGTCTAAAATAAAAGCTCAAAACCATTTCACACCATCCAAGCCGGAGCTTAGGACATTCGTTATCCGCCTACATAAGCTACGGAATGTGGCCAACAATGTATGAGTGCGTACGTTGCGATAGTTCGAAACATGACCACCACGTGCACTGGCCAAAGTCCGATCACCACTGGCGTGACTCCGGAGAGAAAGATCAAGGCTGCCAACGGCCCGAAGATGGCACCTGCACAATATTGGATATTCAAAGTCAAAGAGGTCCAAACATATTACGAAGCAAACATGTGCATAGTCCATGAGGCACCGATCCAAGTACGCAATATACCTAAACTTTTATACCCTGCTAGCTTGGCTACACTTCAGCTTGAACGAACAGTGGGAGCTTCCGACTTTTGCTCTCTACAATGAAACTTTTGATCAGTGATCATAAGATCAATTCACGGTATGCATGCAATTCTCATCAGACACAAGGACAATGCTTCACTCTGCTGACTGAAAAGGGCCGAAGTCTAAGTAAGTCCACAATCACCTCAAAGGAGCATTGGAAACGGACCCAACGAAGGGTGCGAACAAACCCCTCTTAAACAAAAGTTGTTCAGGTAGCCACCAATAGACTCAAGTCACATAAGAAAACTATGTTTTGCGGAAAAAACAATTACCTTTCAAGAGTCCGAGAATGAACAACATCAAGAATAATAAAATAAACCATAGTAGCCTGAAAACTTTGCCTAAAGGTCCTGCCGATATTGATTTCAAAAAACCCTTTTTGCCAGTTTCGTTCGCCATGGCTTCACTTGTGAGTTCCCTTTTCAAAGTCTAATAGTTTTTTTCCTACTTCACCTGTACCTCTGCCATTCTTGGAATGAACTGAAACAAAATGGAAATCAGCTATGGTTTCCCTGTTAAATAAATGGCGTAATTGTTCATCTCAAAAATCCTCCTGTGCATGTTGCAGGGTGAGTCACTTAGAGCTGCTCTATGACCTCATGTCTTCAAGATTCTGTACGAAATCTTTCTTCACCTGCAGCGTATTCCCATCCATTCTTTCCAACTGTGCTGCTACTGAAACCGAGCTCTGAATAGAATAGCCCAATTTTCTTAACTCCGGTACATCACCAGGAAATCTATATATCAAGGATAGATCTGGGCATAATCACGAAAGTAGTCAGCCATTTATTTCCAAAATAAAAGAAAGATGATCGAATAAGAACTTCTATACCTTCATGCAAACCACACATCCAGAGGAAAAATTTCTAACCCTACTAAAGGAATGAAATCTCTCTCTCTCTCTCTCTGTCGTTCGCTCGCTCGCTGCGTGTGTTGGTGTATCCGAGTATGTTTGCTCACGATTCAAGGCCGAAAAGCCCTTAGAATCGCCTGAGCATCACCTTAACTTGTAAATCATACGCACACTGAGAACTTGCTCCTAAATGTTTTCCTTAAATTCAGGTTCCACCCTCAAAGAGTTCTAATTCGTTTAAACCATTTTCACTCCAGATCACTAAAATTTGTAATGCACAGGGGTTATTCATTTCGACCCGCATGTTGCTACGCTGAAGTTGAAACTAACAAAACTCCACTCTAACTTCGCTAGGCATGACTCACTCAGTAACCTGCGTGAGTAATTTCGGGAGCTAATCAACCTAGCACACAACGGAATGATTGCAAAACAAATGGAGCTTCCGCTACGTGCATCACAATTACACCCAAATCACGTCCCGGCCATGTCTCAATGACTACTAGCCAAAATTTATACCATCTCCAGTAACATGAATTTTAAGGGTCATGGCACTTCTCCGAGCTTAGCTCTTCCATGAACAACCTCTTCGGTCGACTATTACACGAAACTTCGCACTACAATGCTGCAACAAGTTAAAGAGCCCAACTTCGCATGACCCTAGTTCCTGCCATAAAATCCTACAAACAGGTACATCCTCCAGTCATATCTCGCTGACACTGAAGCTTTCAATTCTCGATCAACAGGATTTCTGCGACGCACTGCATGTGTTGACTTCACCCAAGACCCCTTCATCATATTCTTTATCATTGTCAAGCTAGATTCCATCCAGTTCGAGAAATCGTTTTTCTTCAAATTAGATGTCTAAGTAGCCGCTTTTCAGAAAATTACTCACAGGCACTGAGCTTGCCGCCTCTCACCATGTGTGCCCTGAAACATTCCTCGTTTTTATCAGCGTGACGTAACCATGTACTTACTTTTAACGAAGCGAAGGTCTCCGCCACATATCGCTGGCACCACAGCTTCAGGCGGGTTTCCTGAAGGCCCAAGGTACCTAAATTCAGGTCTATTTCCTCTCCTTCGCTCATGGTTCCTTAATTTGTCTTGTAATTTTAACGGCTAGCGTTCACTTGGTGCCTCGTCACATGACACATGTCGTTTTTGATAGTTTCTGTCTCATCTCACAGGCTGTTTCGCATAATTAAAGATTCCACTCCCCAACAAATGAATGCTGCCATTTCCGGTACAGTTCCGTTACAGTGAGATCAACAACTTTTCCATACCGTTGTCCATCTAGACGCAAAACTAATACGCACGGCCATCGCTCTGCACATGCCTTGCTGAAATGTTGGCGGGTCCGCAAGGGGTTGTCGACAACGATGACGAACAAGGTCCAGACCCCATGTCGGGAACCAAAGTTTTTCTTTAGTTAGTATGCTGAGTGTTAGGGTACAGATGCGCGTGCCTCTCGAGCAATACGTGTTCTCCTGCACTCTCCAACCGTCATCTTCTCATTTGACCACCGCAAGTTCTTGCAATCAAACTCAAAGTGCTCTCAATCCTCCCAAACTTTTACCGCCGCATTTCTCTCACAAATGGATCGACAAGCTGCGAAGCTCTAAGATTATTCTCCGTCAGCGAGAGATGTGAACATGCAATCATTGAAGACGAAACCCTCAGGTCGATCACCTCGGAGGCCATGACGTTGTGTGGAAACGAAGCAAGTGAAATAAGCGATGACACATTTCGAGTACAGGTTATGGAATCGACAGTGCATGGATGGAGGGAGGTCTCAGGTATCTCGGGAAGCCAAGAAAAAATTGCTGTCCGGAGCGGCATGCCTCATGCCCCCGATCTCCTCGTGCGTTGGTAGACGCACCTTGCGAGCTTCGCAACATCCCGCCATCGCTCCCTGCAACACAGCGGTCCCCGCATCTCCGCCAAATATCCATTTGAACCTTCTCTAGATTCAAAATTTAGCTAAATATTAATAGAATAAACAATATTTGTTCCACAGAAAATATAATTGAAGCAATTTCAATAGGGATAGCCGTAGCAGTGAATCTCTGCATGGAGTAACAATAGCGACAACAAATGTGCAAAAAATTAAATTCAAATTTTAAAATTTTTATTTGTTATTTAAAAGATTGAGTTTCGTTTCTTACATACACAATCATCATATTTGAAAGAATTACCTATGAAATTCAATATCATTCAAACACACACCCATTGCATGTGTAAAACGTGTATGTGAAGCATTGGATCGCAGATAAACCACTGCCAACTTTTGCTGGTACCGATTGGTTCTAAGAATTGGTTATGCTAGACCACTTCGCTTAATTTTAAACTCATTGTATTTTTGAAAGTTGTATTTTTTTCTCACAGCATATGGAGAAAATTTCATCCATTTTTCTAAAATTGCCGCAATGAATTTTGCAACAAGTAGTCTCCGTCAAAGTTATTATTAAAGCTGATTTCTGCCAAGTTTTCCACAGAAATCGCATTTTAACCTCGGGAATGCATGTTTCTTTTTTGCACATGGAGACGAAGAAGATAATGCAAATCATATCTTTCCAATATTAACAAGAATGAGGGAAAACAGTTCGGAAACTGTGAAGGAATCTGAATGTAAGAAACACCATGAAAAGAATGTGAAAAGTACATGGTTACTTCCATTAAGTGAAGATTTGCATCTCTATGAAAACTATATATCAGAAAACCACTAGAGCACAAGTAGCGATTATCATCCAATTCCTCTAGTCTACACCAACAGGTATTGCGTGCTTCGTGAGTTTCATTGATGCATACTAAGTGGATGCACTCATGCTGGTGTGAGCATTGCGAAGCGCAATCCAGAAAGCAGGGATGGGTTCCATGTCAGAGACATCCTTGTTCACATCTACCATGACATGGTCCTTAGTTTTCACTTGCACCAAGATTCAACCCAACCAACTCTAACTCATCACATATCCTTCCTCAACACTCCTGTTCAGTAAAACCAGGAGACTGGACTTGCAAAGTCCAATGCGGAAGAGTACCTTAATAAGACACTCCAGGAGAAGCCAAGACTATGAGAATGGCCAGCATAGCCAAGGGGGACTCAAAACTCACAAAGTGTTGGTACAATTGACTGAAGGAATGCGTTTAGACTTACCATGATGTCGAAGCCGATGATTGTGAGGCCAAGTTTCTTGCGTAGCCAAACCGCTACTTTCTCCACAGCTCCACGTTCTGACTTCCATCTCCTTCCACCACTGAGTATAACCATACTTAACCGTCTCCCTCAAAGATTGAAAACATAGATTTTAAACTGGGATTTTAACAGTATAGTGTAAGAATTCACTTCAAACTTCACGATGAGAAAAACCAAAAATCTTCTCAACACGTTGCTTGAACTGGGTCTTCTCTGCAATGCAATGACTGTGCACTGGGTTATTGAAATAGTAGTATCTTGGACTAGTTTAGTTATAGTACACCGTAAATCTGCAGCGGCGATTATTCCAACCCAGCTGTAGCCTAGGTCTCTATTTTTGGACCTAAGATATACATTCAATATTCATGATTTAACAAGCTATATTCTTGCCTAATCGTTGCATCAAACAAACAAGAGACCATAATCCTGCTAAACAAACATTTAACACGATTGTACCTTTCGAAAACCAGTGCTGACACACCTCCAGACGAACCATCTGATACGGCCATAGAGGCCGCGTTTGGCATGGATTTCGGCAGGAATGCATCACTTTATCACCTACAATATAGAACTTATTAACATATGAACTATGATCGACATACTCCTACATGATTTAGCATCACAAAACACCAAGATCAGCACCCTAAGATCTTCAAATGTCCCTACAAGCATTTCGAAATCCAAAGATTGTTCAGGGGGCAAAGCTCAAAAGTTACAAGTGATTAAAACCTGAATCACTGCAGGAAGAGGCACAGCCAGGTTGACGTAACCCTCTTTGTTGAAAACCACAGCCTGAATTCACTCTATAACCGTAAGAAAGCTACTACAAAGCTGTGCGCATCCACGATAACAATAGTTGTGCCTGGAGCAGGTAGAAGAGAAGGCTAGGCCACAGTATAAAAGCGTTTCAACAGAGCCAAAATACCATTGTATGTGCATCATCAGTCCCACAAGCCATTAACCCACATTATTTGCCTCTGTTAAATGAGGTTCTCCAAGATCCTTCACCTGCAAGAACCAGGCAATGTGGTCAAAATCTAAGATAATTGAATCAGCACCAATTCAGCCAAATGCTCTGCGTTATGCATCACTCATGTATAAGGTCTACAAGATATCAGGATTCGTAAATACCACCAAATTGCAATAGAAACAAATATTCATGGCCTCATCATTACCTCTCTTCCAAATCATTCAACACTTCACGAGTAAGTGATCATTGTTGCATAGGAGCGAGCCGGTCGATCGGGTCGACAACACATTTCTCCGGATGCTCTGCAAGATATCTGCACGAGCAAAGCCGGTTAAATTTGTCCATCATGAACATTGGCATACAGAGTTTTGAAGCTTCTATTGCAGCCTACGCCGAGGGGCCCTTCAAAATCCTCTAATTACTGGGTAAGCATTACGATATTAAGACACAAATATCTGGACATTCTGTAAAACCTCAAATAAATACCGCTGAAGTGACTTTATGCTATCTGAAAAGTGGATGCGATCTGCAGGGTTAGAAGTACGTATTGCAGACACACTAACGATTTCGTCGGCTGCCTTGTGCAAAATAATAACTACGACATCAAGCTGTGCTTCCATGGATCGGTCAGTCTGAAGAGGAACGAAAGTCCGATTGTTGCTTGTTGGTACGGCAGGTAGAAAACGGCTTTGTTATATCCAAAATGAATCGAAATAAGCTATTTATACAAATACGAGCTACCTAAAAGTTCTCTGGAGGTCCATGATCACAAAATCGGTAGCGTTGCGCTGATATGTGAAGTTCACATATTGGTCTTCGTGATCCATCCGGAGGTAGCCATTTTTCTATAATATAAGTTATGCTTATGAGATCAACGGAGCTCTCAAAACTGGAAAAGTTAACGAGTTCGATTTGTTTTAAACCAAGAAAAAGAAGAAGAAGAAAATCTAACTTTGTATTTTATTAAATGGAAAAAAGTATTTCATACAAATGGGAGGACATCCTACGTATTCCTCAAATGACAGGAGAACAACGCCAGGGCGAAGAATGGCAAGAATTTCAAATAGACGATTACTTTCAAGAAGTCCTCCTCTCGATTCCACTTCATTAAATATCCGACAATAACACCGCTCCAGGGGCCTGCTGATCATATATAATAAGTTAGCATGAAAAAACTCGAAGTGAATCTGAAAACGTATCGCTTTTGGCATTGAGACAGCTCAAACGTAAGACAATGCAGGGATTTGGAAACACCTGCACTGTGTTGTAAAATTCATAAACGAAAAAATCTCGTATGCGAAAGGCATCATATATCTGTACAGGAAAGTGGCTTTTCTAAGGCAACAATGTGTCAAATTAAGAGAGTTAATGCCATCTTGTCCAACGCTACCACGGCTGCAAATAAGGCATCTATGTGCTGAACAATAGATGTTTCTCCTACGACACCTCCCTGCGCTGCATAGGATACCAGGAAATTTTGATCCGAGATACAATGAAGCACCTGTCAGAGCGCTTACCATGCAGTTGTGCAACCTTAGAGTATAATTAGAGCTAAAAGCAAACTGTTTAGACTACCAGACACTGCAAGCTTAA